TTATAAATCGCACCACCAAAGCTTATTGTTAATCCCTGCTGTGTGAATATGCAAGACACATTTATCCTTCGTTCCTCCTCATTTTTCCATCGTGTTTCAGTTAGTTGCAAAGCTCACATTCACAACATGACATGATTAAAAATTAGCAAATAACGTGTTGTGGGGATAAGTCCATGGGGACAATATCTAACAGCATTCAGCCCCAAAGTTTAACAACACAAACAGCAGGCTTACTGCTTGCCTGCAGGACCCTCTTGGTCTGTTGTTGTAATGCACTCCAGATGCTCTACTCTCTGTCATTCAGCTTCTCTGGTCCTCTTCCACACAATTATCCATTCAGGAAGAGCTTTTAACAGCAACATTTAAAATACTTGGGATAATCTAGTTAGGGATCCACTGTGGCTGTTTTGTGTTTTACGAAACAATTTGACAATGCTATAGTTTGACCCCTGTTAAAGCTTCCTGTCTCTGTGGTCAGTCCTTTAGGGCTCTACATTCTCCCAAAGCTGCGGTAACATGAGTAAGCTATCTGTTCCTCATGCCTTAAGCAAAGGACCTTGTCCCCTAATGTTCCTTTGCTCACTCATTTTCTACACAATGAAAACCTGTTTTGAATGCAAGCTGACACTTATTTTAATGATATAACTTTCTCTATGGTTTTATCTGTGATAAATACAGAACATCTGCATAGTTTTGGTTTGTTGTTCTGCTTACATCATTTGCAAGGTCTTTAAGATTTTGAAGACAGTGGGCCTCATGCAAGAACCGCTCGTACGAACAAATATGTTAATAAATTCGTTCTACGAGGAATTTAGGACTTATATCTAATCATCTTTCAGGTTATGAACACATTTTACAATTCCTTCAGACTTGACGTCTCGCACCATCAGTCACCTTTTATCCAAACCTAGTTTTTCACTAAATGACTACATTTGTTATTACTTAGACACAAGTGTCCATTTAATTAGGTTAAATTATTATATATTATTCATCTCTGCAATTATGAATTACATATTCATTCACTGTTGGCAGAAATATCAGTCACTACACTGGCTGTCATGTTGGTGTCCAGGGGAGACTGGTTTAATTTGTTCTTAATCGGTCAAAAGAAAGAACTCTATGTGAGATCAAGCTACTATTGAAATAATGTCTGGAACAGAAAATTTATCAAAATATCTTCATCAGAATGACGTTCAGCAATGTTTTGCTATTTGAAACTCCTCACTCACTGTGCTCTAATACGCACAGGTGGACTGCATCAGGTTTACGAGGATCATGTCAAGTTCTCGGTGCTCCTTCTTGGGACACTTCAACATCAATATGCTTCCTAGTGCTATAGTATCTCTTAACATGCTGATGACACTAGTTTATATATCTGTGTCAATGCATGAAAGGCGCCAAATAAAGTCACCTTGTTAGTGTGTCCATGAGTAGAGTCTGTAGATTTAGATCATAATAGAGAGCTCATATTTAGGCAGAAATTATCTGAATCCTTATGAAAGGTACTGAAGGTGATCTCCAACTCAAATCTAGTCTGTTTTTGTTTGTGATAATGTGCTGAACTCACTGGTCAAAGAGCGGATACAGAATGAGCTGTTACAAAAATGCACCATTCAGCCTGTTTGAAGTCTGAGTCTACAAATGAAAGACGTTGTTCCCCCTTTGGATAAAGCACAGATTACTCAACACTTCCTTTCAGAGAGGATGCCTCACACTTAAAAAGAAAATCATCATGTTTTTGTAAGCTGACTTAATAAAACAGAATATTGGGCTTATATATACTTTATTATATGTTGCCTACAAAAATAGAAAGTCAGTCTAAGCTAGTTTTAACTGAGTTTAGTGGTTTCATTTGAATAAATGACTTTTAATGACATAATAATAGCTCTGATCGCTTATTGCTTGCAGCTGCCAGAGGTTCAACTACAGAGTGTTCAGTTCATGGCTCCGTGGAAAGGGTCACGGAGGAAATGTTATAACCACACAAAGCAGCTCTCACAAAGTCCAAGATCAGTGGTCTGCTATCAGTGACATGACAAGATTTAAAGCCTCCTGCTCTGGCTGCTGACGACATTTTGGTTTATCATTTATTCAGTTGTGGCTGGTCAGGGGATCACAGGTCCGCTCAATTTCTTATTATTTTTTTCCATCAGTTAAACACAAATATCAGAAGTCAAAGTTAGTTCCTTTGCTTTTTGGTTTTACTCTGTATGTGTAATCTAGCATTTAGGATAAGAAGATTGAATATGAACAAAAATACATCAACTTTAGACATTAGTAAGTGATAGTATCTGGATGTTTTTTTTTAGATGAAGGGAGTACTAAGTGGCCAGCCAAACTAATCAAATATCTTTACCATCAGTTAATGTACCAAATATAAGTTTAATCAGGCTGTTATTGGGGGAAGAATAGACCCATATATTAGTACATGTTTTAAGATAAATGATTAAGGAACAAAAATGAATGTTAACATCAATACGAAAGAGTTAGATTTTCTAAAAACTTAATCATGGAAGGCTGTTCAATTTTTTGAAACACATTCAGGAATCCTGATCTAAATAGATTTAAGTCTAACAAAGTCACAGTTTCCTTTTAGGAAAACTTTCCTTTTAGGGCAGGGTGTTGTTGCTGTTGTTGTTTCTTGAATTATCTTCATATACATCTCAGTATCTCAACAAAAGGACACAGATCCCTCATGTATTTTACTTGTCAGTAAGATAAAACATTTCCTTTTTTTACATATCTTCAAGGAAAACAAGGAATCTTGTTGAGGGGTTTGCACGCCAAAGAATTTACATCTTAAAAGATTGTGCAAGTTTGTCCTAACTTTGTTGTCACAACTGTGACAGCCTGACTTGGTTTGTATATATTTTGTCTTTCTTTCACTCCTAAAATTATATTTGTTTCTTTCAAAAAAAAGAGAAAACATCTGAAGTGAAAGATATAATCCTTGTGAAACTTTTTGGCTCTTCAGAAAACAACAAGCTTGGCGATATGGACACTTCAGTAGTAAAATACGTATTTACAAGATGCAAGATGTGCTATGTTTTCTGTTTCCTTTCTTCTAGTGAACACTTTACATATATATATATATTTATATATATATATATATATATATATATATATATATATATATATATATATATATATATATATATATATATATATATATATATATTTATATATATATATATATATATATATATGTGCAGCGCTTTTTCTGTTCAATATTCAATTGTCTCAGTGGTTTTTTGTTCTCGGCTTTTGACAAAGATTACTTCCGACTTATTTATTTGTGGTAGAAGAAACCGAACAAGGTGCATGGTATAACGGTGCAGCCTTTCATTTATCCTGTGGTGTTACTGCAAAGCCCCCAGTGGATCTATGTACGTGGAGCATAGCCTCTTGTGGTTTTACAGACAGATTTAACTACAGTATGGCTCGCTGTTGCTGTGGCGATGGACTCCTATTAACATGTTGTCTTCCCAAAGGAGAGGAAGTCTCTCTACTTGCTGTAGAACTCTAAGGCTCGGTTAAATCAGGACACAAACACTGCAGGGTGAGTGAGCTCCTTAAGAGAGACACCTCACAACTCTACCTGGAATAAATCAGGGAAGTGCCATAACTTCAATTGTTGCCAGCAGCATCTGGGTTCCAGTCTTGTTAGAACAGAACTGATTTGACTCTGCACTAAAGTGCATTACTGTGTGTATTTGTGCATGCCATTATTTTACTAAGCTATGAGCTGAATGTTAATGGAATTAAATAAGTACTATTTTTTCAAAACAAATAGTTTTAGGTTTATACTACTGTACGTATTATTTTGGGTCCTCTTTTTACCAAATTAAATGCTCAGTTCCTGAAAGCATTAGCTTTAAGCTCAACTGTTTACAATTTTCCTACTTGCCTGTAAAATCTCATTAGAGGCGAACAATCCTAAAGGATCTTCAGTTTAAAAAAAGCTGTGTTTATGTTAGAATGCAATCAAGGCAAGTTGTTCAAGCTGGGCCACCTCTGACGATGTGCAAAACTCAGAAACACAAGAGCTAACAATTCAGCAGCAGGAATCATGTACGGAGATGATAATTTAACCTTTATCTTTGTTGGATCAAAGCCACTTAGACACTGATAGTGTGTAATTCTGAGAGATACATGAGTCTTTCTTTCCTACAGAAAAACACACTCATAAGAGTATCTTTTTTTCTGTGAAATTTTGATTTAGTGTGAATGTGTTGGTAAACCACCCACATATATTTTAAATATGCTTTTCCTTAACCAAGAGAGGCCATAGTGATGGGAATGGCGTTCACAAAACATCTCAAAGTATATGTTTCTATAAAAAGACAGAATTGAATTTGAGACGCTTTTGAAATGTATCCAAAATGAAGATTAAATAAAAGAAGCACTTTAAACATGACTGTTTTTGCATATTTAAGTGACTTTTTTTGTTCTTTTTCCTAAGAGTGCATGGAAGTCTCTTAGTGTTGTAGAGTAATGATTGATATCCATTCTTAAACTTTGAATAATCCATTGCATTTCAGTCTTCCTTTCATAATCAACACACGTAAACTGTATCAAATGGAATCAAATTATAGAGGAACGCAAGTCTTTACTTTAAAATTACTCATTTTCTTTTGTTTAAAAAATATAATTGATTGGCTTTTAACACTGGTAAGACTTAATTGTTGTGACCTTGTATATTTCGTATAAACATTTTTTTATATATATAATTGTCCTATTTTACATCTTTATGCTGATTATTTTTCTTTCATTGTGTTTTATTATTTTGAACAATGTTCAACAATTTGTGTTCAGCCGTTTTAAAGCACTCATTAAATAACATTGATGATGATGTTGCTGATTAACAAAAGCTATTTTTTTACGTAACAACTATTGACTTTCCTGTGAAGATGGTGATTGAACTATTGTATCTATTGTGTAATAGCTGAATTAAATACAGTAGCTGCAACTTACTATTACTACCCTTTTTTTTTGTCTAGATGCAAAGGAAAGGACAACAAAAAGCTTCTCAGCCAACGGGGTGTACAACTTCACCTCCTTCCTGCTCAGCAGTGAAGACAACATGCTCTATGTTGGGGCCCGGGAGATTCTCTTTGCTCTCAACCTCTCTGATATCAGTGCAACAAAGCTTAAAAGAAGCGTAAGAGACTGCATGCCACTATGTGTAAACTGTAATATCAATAGGTATATAGTTCTTGAATCTGTAATATGAAGCAGAGATTTGTTAATAAGGGTTAATCAATCACAAATGTGTAAACCAAATATGATATCCCTCAGTGTGTTAACACCAAAGCATGAGCATTGAAGTGTTCTTATCTTTCCTGCAGCTCACATGGAAAACTCCGGAGAGGAAGAGAGAGGAGTGCAGTTTCAAAGGCAAAGATCTTCAGGCAAGTCAACTGCTGGTTTGAAGTGCACGTAGCTGAACTCTCATGGCTCAAAAATTATTTACCGATGTGCATGGCTGCTCTGACTATTGTTGAACGACATTTGGGAGTTGAGTCCAGGGTAGGACAGAACACAGACATTTCCTGTCATCCTGGAAATTTCCATCTCACAACAATGTTTTTTTGTTTTTTTGTTTTTTGCCTTTCCATTTGGAGCACACTGTTTCATTTCATCAAATTTTTCTTAAACTTCTCTAGTTTACTTTCTGAACCTTTGACACTGGAACACTTGTGCAAGGTGGTTTATTTTTCATGTTTTTGTTGTTAAGACAAGAAATAAAATATAGCCCCTTTATTCTGTGTTTTGGTTCGAAGTATCTGAAGAATGTATAATTACTTCTTGTGTTTTTCCTACACAGAAAGACTGCTTCAACTACATAAAGATTTTGCTGCAGAAGAACAGCACTCTCCTGTACGTTTGTGGGACGTACGCCTTCAGCCCTATCTGTGCCTACATTGTAAGTTGTGGACGTCCAGACATCCCATTTGTTCTGTAAACGTGCTTCTGCAATATTTTCTTTGGAATGTTGACATAAAAGACAACAGCAAAGTCCTCATAAAAGGTGATTACCCAGATGCAGGACCCTGTATAGAATTTCTTTCACTGATTTTAGAGGAGTAGAAAAGAGTATTTCAAATCTGATGCATCACACTTCCTTCCTTTCTACTCTCTCAGCAGTCTTTCAGCCGTGCAGACCAGTCAAATACAATATACGTACATTATTTTATTAGCTTGTATGCAGTGGAGATAAAATATTTAATGCACTCAATCAGATTACATAAGAATCGATCTGGTTTTATTCATTTTCTTCAGATCTTTTAGTGCCTTTCAGAACAAGCCAGAAAAAAACAAACACAACTGACCCGTATTTCAACTTTGACCAAGGCTGACCACCTTTTAAAGCAGAACCTGACAGTGAGGTCTCTGTCAGTTTACTTACAGCTCTCCCTCTGAAATCCCTTTATGACATGTGGTGTGTGTTTGTCCCTCAGAGGACAGGAGACTTCTCTTTTGTCAGAAGTGATGCTGGTGAGATTGTTACAGAAGATGGACGCAGCCGCTGCCCGTTCAACCCGGAGTACAAGTCCACTGCCATCATGGCTGGTAGGTCTATACAGATTGAATACTGCACATTTGATTCATTATCCAGCAGTAATCAAATGATAAGTTGTCCTTTAAATTATGACTGGTTGCTTGGTAAAACAAAACAAGTGTGCTGAAAATTGAGTTAAAAAAGGACAAAAAAATGTACAGTACAAATAATTTCATTGTAGCAATAGTTCACTTTAAGTCTTACACAACTTGCTTTAGAATATTGTAAATATTTGATATAATTCTATTTTATTTAGAGTTAATGATCTTTTATTACGACTGAAATGAGCTTTACTAAAAAAACAAAAAGCCAGAAGGAATTTGATACCTACTTTTCAAGTTTATGATAATAATAATTTTAATAAGAAGGGAAAAGGGAGATTTTGCAGCTTTAACTTTAACCTACAATCCAAATTGGCTGTCATTTATTTGAAGTCTAATGACAGGTACAGAGATATTCATGTTATTTTCCACATCTGGCAGTTTGCATTTCATTAAATACTTACACACATGAGGAACCATCCATTCATTCTCTATAGCCGTTTATCCTGGTGGGGTTATGGGGGGTATCTTTGACGTTAATTGGATGAGAGACAGCCTACAGATTGGACAGGTTGCAAATTTATTACAGGGCGAGACAGTGACACACAACACACAACATTACTCGCATAAACTCATACCTAAGGGGAATTTAGCCAAACAACTGTGCTGCCCAGCAGCCTATGTTTTTCTTTTTCTATCATGTTTTATGCATGTACAATTTAGATTATTAAAGGCCTACTTTGAGTACTTAAATTCATATATAAAATATGACTGTTACCTTTGATTGATGAGCTACCATTTAGTGCATCAATTACCGTATTTTCACGACTATAAGGCGCACTTAAACGTCTTTTTTTTCCCTCAAAATGTGCGGTGCGCCCTTTGGTGCGGTGCGCCTTATGTGTGTTGTAACTGCGACTTTTGAGACCACCTCATTGAGGAGATGATGAAAGAGTGGCTGAATGTAAGGAGACCAGGTGTTTTTTTTCCATTCATCACCATCGCTGTTAATATGTAACTCCATGCGTGCCCATCTCACAGCTGATGTGAAAAACATGGGCAAACAAATTAACGCTGTGCTCGCTGTTCAACCGCTCGACATCGGTGTGAACCGGACCCAGCAGGTGCAGCAGAAGCAGCGAGTTTACATGCAAAGTCAATGGTTGACGCGTGTATAGGTGCAGCAAAAGGTCCCGCAGCGCGTTTTGAGCAGCAGGTGCAGCAGGTCGGGAAGCGTTTAAGCATCTGACGCACCGCCAACGCGCTGCTTCTGCTCGAGATGGAAAAATTGAAGTTTTGCTGGACGCGCCGCATCAACCAATCAGAGAAGCTGATCTGGGAGCTGACAGCGAGACAGACACAGCGCTCTGATGACATATGATATTAAATGAAAAGGGCTGGATGGATGAGGAGATGATGAAAGCGTGGCTGAGGGAGGTGTATGTGAGGAGACCAGATGGTTTTTTCCACGCATCACCATCGCTGCGTGCCCATCTCACAGCCGATGGGAAAAAAAAGGTGAATCAAATGAACGCTGTGCTCGCCGTTATGTCGGGGGTCTGACAAAGGAACTTCAACCGCTCGACATCGGTGTGAAGCGGCCGTTCAAAGTAAGGCTGCGAGCGGCGTGGGAGCGATGGATGACAGACGGAGACCACAGTTTCAGGATAAGTGGAAGGCAGCGCCGGGCAAGTTACGCCACCGTTTGCGCCGAGTGCGCCTTTTAGTACGGTGCGCCTTATGGTCGTGAAAATACGGGTACTAAATTGTACTTATCTTAAAAAATGCTAAATTTGGGTGTGACGAAATCTAGAGATCTCAGTCATGGTTTTTGAGAATCAAATAAGACTTTAGAGTACCTAGCTGTGATTGATACAATATTCATATGTCAATTAGTTTTACTTATTAATGGCAATTTAATGTGGAGTCTTATATTAAATCAGAGGCCATGGAGTATAACAGCTGGACTGAAAACACTTAAACAAAGATGGCCTGTGTAGTTTATTGAATTTGTCTCAAAAAATGACTCTGTGAAGCTGAAGAACCATCCTAGCTTTCATATGATGTTCATTCTTGTATGTCTCATGTTCTCAAAGTAAACCTTTACTTTTTAGTCTAATCTGAAAAATGCTACACAGAAAATTCTTTAGGTTAACATTTAAACCACTTAATAGAACTTTAAACAACACAATGACAGTTTTTTTAATCATTTTTGTATGGTAATGAAATAACATAGGAGCTTATAGTATTAACTCCTAGTATAGTTAATAGTATATCCTCATATTTCCCCAAACAAAATGTGAATTCAATGCATTAAAAAAATCCTTTGGTAAAATTTGCTAAATTATTTATATACCGACCCCTATTTAAAAACACTTACAACCCTTTCGAAAGGTATTTCTTGTGTGACTTGTCTGATTTAAAAATAAATGAATGAATAAAAGAATAAATAAATGTAACAAATTGTCAACTTCTTTTCCTGTAAATTCTGAAAGACATTAAATGTCTTAGAATTTGTGTCAAGTAGGTTTAAACTTTGATCTTTAACCTATTGGATAAAAACAATACAGGATTTGTTATAGATGTTTTTTCTAAGGAAAAACAATAATAGTAACAGATTGTATGAAATTCAGTATAGAACATTATACATTTGGGATGAAAGGGTTAATAAGTTTTGTGAAAAATGGAAGCATAACAAACTTAGACATGAAACTTGCCTTCGGATCTTGTTAGCCTACTATGTGACGCTGAAGCCTTTCTAATTTTTTGAGGAAACATTGTGATCATTCTTGTCTTCTTGCCTGCGTTGCAGATGGGGAACTGTATGCCGGCACAGTTAGTAATTTCCAAGGAAATGAACCCATCATCTACAAGAGCCTGAGCCAAGGCACTGCTCTGAAAACGGAAAACTCTCTCAACTGGCTTCAAGGTACAGTGGTGTGGATGCAAAGCAATGGTTTTTATTATCACTACCTGCAAGAAGGTTTCTATTGCAGGATGGATAAATACTCAGCCTTAAAAGCAGAGAAATGCTGCATAGCAGCCTAGAAAGTGAAACCATCTCCAGTCCCTGCTGGTTGTGGGTTTCACTCAGCAGTGTTCCCAGATCCCAGTGTGACGGTACTGTTACTTTCCTTTCAGACCCAGCCTTTGTTGGCTCGGCTTACATTCAGGAGAGCCTACCCAAGGGCAACCTTGTGGGCGATGACGATAAGATTTACTTCTTCTTCAGTGAAGCAGGAAAGGAGTTTGATTTCTTTGACAACACCGTCGTTTCACGCATCGCCCGTGTGTGTAAGGTGAGTGATATTTGCACTTCTGGATATTTCCTTTTTTTTTTTTTTTTTTGTGGAAATAACAATAATTGTCATAATGCCCAAAACGAGCCCAACAGATTTTGCTCTCACAAGAGGAGCAGTACGGCTATCGCCCTAGTGTTCCGCTTGATTTATGCATATAAATACCTTTAGTGTAATTCATGCAGGGAGTGTTACAGATTATATGGACACTGCAATGTAGGTAGAGAAAAGATTAAAGAAAGAGGAGATAAAAGGGAGACAATGATAAAGCGTCTTCAGTCTGCGTTATCACCTGCAAAGAGATGTGAAAGAAAAAAGAATAGCACAACCAACGGATATAGTATAAGATATAGCTAAAGTAGCACCTTGATATTGTCGCTGAGGTATAAGTGGTATTATTTAATCTGACATGTATACTGTGGTAGCTGAAGATAAGAATATGAGCTTTCTGTATGGAAGTGAATCTCTAAGTATCTGGACCCAAGCACCTGTAGTTGATTGTGAGAGTGCACTTGTGCATGTAAAGTTTATCCAAAGGAAAAATGCTCAATGGTGGTTGTGAAGAGCCAAAGAACTACCCCCCCACAGCACTGAGGCAAGCGCTGGAGCACCCAAAACGCAGATGTCCAAAGAAACCCCCAGAATAAAGGCGCCCAAGAGGGGCCAACCCAGGAAATCCGCCCCCCCACCAAGGAAAAGAGGAGAGACCACACTGAGGAAATCCCCCGGCAGCTGCAGTGCCGAAGCACCCAGGAGCCGCAGTGACGAGCCCGCGGGCTCCGCCGGCAGCAAACCACCCCAAACTGGAACCGGCCATGAGCCCCCGGGACCCGAGGCCCCAGGGGCACCTTGCCCCCTGGTGGGAGCCCCGACCGGGCCCCAGGGTGCCAGGCCCCGCAAAGCAGCTGCTAGGAATATGCTTCTGGATGTTACCGAATGAGGATGCTTTTATATCCTTAAGCAACATCTAGACCTGCTGCCATTTTAAGATTAAGTATAACTAGTTGGAGACAAGGCCTTGTTTGTCTCTTTTAAGTATTTGTGCTCAAAATTCCCTTTCTGGATGCAGTTATTATCCTCATAAAGCTGCTTTTAACATACATACATCTTGTATATCTCCCAGCCCTTCTGGGTGGTAATGTATGAAAACATTTCTCTCCCATCTGCCTCCTTTGTTTGAAATATTTGTTTCCAAATCCCTTCTCCAAATACCTAAGCAACTAATGTTTGTCTTCAGATCAGACTCAATAAACATACACAGCCCCTTCAGAGACAGCATTTAGTTTAATCTCTTATGCAATGTTGACCTTAAATATATTTGATAAAGACCCCGCCCACCTACATGCTTAAAAAATACTATTATTTCTATAGCAGATCAGTACTATGGAAGTTCACAGATTTTCTTTTTTATTATTTCGATTAGCACTTCATTATGATATGTCCCTTAATTCATTATTTTTTATTATTTTTCTACCCTGAGTTGTTGCTTAAGGTATCTGTCTATTGATGTTTTTTCTTTGTTCATTATCATAATTTGGAACTCAAAATTTAAGAGACAAATTTAGTAATCCATGATAAGGTGATTGATGTGGTTTGTACCTGCAGTCAGTCGAATTATTCTCTTTATTAGACTTGGAAAAAGAAGCAATTGCAGCCAGGAGACGGTGTTTTATCTACAATGACCAATTGTTTGGATTCCTTGTTTCTCACTTCGTTTAAAGAAAATAGAGGGAAAAAAAATTATGTATATTACTGATTACCTCAAAATCACGATGAAGTTTCAGAAATTGATCATCTGATGGGCTGATGAGGATTTCGTCTTTTCTGGGAGAGACTCAGAGAAGAACCAGTGAGTCCAGTTAAGTCAGAAGCAAGCCTGCTAAGCTCAACGACTGGATAAATGTTTCTTTGGTGCATTTAGTTTTGTAAGAATTTTTTGTAAAGTTCCTCCAAATACATTTGTTTTTCTCCCCTTCCTCACTCACCTGCTCAGTGACTTTCTTCAACAGCTTTGTTTTTGTTTTACTCTATTTCGCCTCCTGAGATTCAAGAGGCGAAATAGAGTCAAAAGGCAAAAGCAGCCCTTGTTGCCTTTTTAAGAGGAAGCTTCTTGCAAACATAACCGCGGCTTGAGTCAGTTACTTCCAAGAGAGGGAGGAGGGAGGTAGACTTTGTTTTCCTTTTTTACTTCTCTTTGTCCAAACCTTTTAGTTACTGCTGTATTTGAAGTCCCTTTTACTCTTGAGAGAGATCTAAAAATGTGGATGAAAATTAAGCCTATAACTCGCCCAGATTATTTTCTAATTGTTAATGTCTCTTACATTTGTCCCAATAGTTGTTTCATTTTACTTGAGTAAATAATTAGGAAATTGCTAGGATAATTATGAATCAAACTCATGATTTCATGTTATCACTGTTACTGATAAATAAATCTTAATTGGGAGTAATGTGCAGTGAAAACACACAGGTAAAAAGTATGGATTTTTGATAGATTATGAAACTTATTGAGACAATAGACTTTACAAAGTTTAAGACTATTAAAAGCAGGTTATTTTAGGTTTAAGGACTAAAGATATAGGTTTACAGACTAAAGTGATGTGAGATGGTATTTTGGGTATGAATCTTCTAAATGCAAAGTGTTTAGCTATCATCTTTTAACAATTTACTTTAGTTTTCCAAACATCTGACTTAAAGGCTCCACTTATGAGAATCATATAAGCACTGACTCATGTAGGTTTCTCAGAAATGTGAAAATTAGGTGTTTACCACAAAGTTCTCTGGTACAGATTAGCCACAAGAGAATTCCCACAAAGTTGAACAAAATGCTGTGAAATTTAAGACACAAGCAAAACTAGAGCTGGTAAAATTGGCTACAAATGGCTCAAATCAAACACTTAAATCTACTCTTTGCTTCTGTTATCTCCCTAAATGCAGTTTAAATCTCTGCAGAAGCTGCTGTCTCTGTCATTATGTATGTTCAGGTGCTTGCTGCTTTAGCTCTGTATCATCAGGCCAACCCCAGCAGGATAAACAATGTTTTGCCTGGAACAAACAAAGCAAAGTGTGTTCCTGTTTGTGCGATTTGCTCAGTTTCCCAGAATACTGCCACTGCTGCCCACCATGTCCATGACAGCCTTTCCAACAAAGAATGCTTTTACGAGAGGATTAATGAATGGAATGCATTTTGCTTCAATTATTTAGCAGTCAGTTTAAGCGTGCAGTTTCTTTAAATTATTAAATATGGTGATATGTATGTTCCCTATTATACGCCTGAGTTATTGCATTGCTTCAGCAGTCTGTATTGGTCATGTGTCATTTTCTCCAGCAGGGCTCCATTATTCTCTGATTAACATTGGTAAAAGAACACATGACTAAGTGTTTGGTCATTATGCTTTTTATTAGCTATTTTTTTAATCCTCTGATCATCAGCCTGCCATCATGTAAAGACATGGGTCTGTGATACTGTGAGACATGAGTTGTACATCCATCAAATACATCAACTTCCACTAATGTTTCTCAGCATGTGTAGCTTGATTAGTTTGCATGTCAACAAGGTCCCGTGTCACTCATGGCACTTCAAAGGATTATGCCAAGGGCATTGAATCAGAGTAGCTGTGTCAGGGAAAACGGGTAGTTTAGGGCCACTGTTTCTTTTTCTTTCAGTTAAAAGGACTTGTTCTCTTTAGAAGCCTGAGTTTGTTTTATCTGCTCTTGTTATGATAATTTAGTTTATTGTTTTCATGACCTAGAAGCGTTCTGCCTTGCGGTATATTCCCGTCGGAGGCAAAGCATATTGAACTCAATGTTTTTTCAGATAAATAAAATGTTATCTCTTTTATCAGAAATAATATTTTAACTTCTGAATATGAAATATTTTGACCTTGCTGACCTTGAATTAAAAAGATGTTTCACTTCCAACGCTTGTCATGCAGGGCGACATCGGAGGGGAGAGGGTATTACAGAAGAAATGGACCACTTTCTTAAAGGCTCAGCTTCTGTGCTCATTGCCTGATGATGGGTTCCCCTTCAACATAATCCAAGACATGTTTGTGCTCACGCCGGGCCCCGAGGACTGGAAGAACACTGTGTTTTATGGAGTCTTTACATCTCAGTGGTGAGGAGAAATCTCTAAACACCACATCGGAATCACAAGTTCAGTGCATAAAAAAAGGAATAAAAAAATAGTCTGCAATCTTTATTTGAAAAGACATTTAAATCTGTCACTTTTAATACTGACTCAGATTTTTGTAGAGGAGAACTTATTGTCATTTGTTTATTCTTATCTTAGATACATTTTTCTCTAATGTATCTTAAAAACTATAAATGACACGTTTTAAGAAAATAAACCAGGACAAGAAGAAAAATAAATACAAATGAAATATGAATGAATGAATGAATGAATGAATGAATGAATGAATGAATGAATGAATGAATGAATGAATGAATGAATAGGAATGTATTTCAGACAATTTTGACAAACAACAAAAGTAAAATAAATAAAGTTATGCTTTCTAATAAGATAATATATAAAGAACGAGCTAAAACTTGTCTTCTTACTTTCCCTCATTGGAAAAGTAAGAACACATTGGAAGAAAAGCAAAGACGTAGGTAAAGGACTCAAAACCTTCAGACTAAATAATGTAAAAAGAAGAACATTTTAAGAGTCCAACTGTACAGCAGAAGAGAGAAGAAAGGCATCTTTATGTTTGCACTGCACCTATAAAAAGCAGCTAAAAAGCTAAAGTTAAATGTGTGTCTGAGAAATAAAATTTTCAATTAATCTTATAAATAAAATTTGATTTGGTGACTAGGAATACCAGATAACTTGTCAAGTAAAACATTAGGAAATAGAAAATTACAATAAGTTTTCAGATAACTTTGAAAATTATTTAACTTCTAGCCTTTTGCAGGTTTTATGGGAGTGCAGAGACTTTCTTAAAACAATTTTTAATAGTTATGACCATAAGGAGGATTATAACAACCTGCTTCCAGCCCAGCTGAAGATTCTTGAAAGGTTGTACAATAAAGATATTGCTGATAAACAATACCTGCTAAGGCGTTTTCAAACAGGTAAAAGGGCCTTAAATTCAACATATGAAGTACAGCATTTGAAAACATATAATTTAAACCCCCTATAATTTCTTAATATTTAATTCCAGAGAGTCACATATTTTTAAGTGGTCCATATAAAGTCATCCTGATCTTTAATCCTTTAGACTTATGAAAGATCTTCTAACAATTCAACATATTGTACTGTGTGTGCTTTAAATAGATCGTAAATCAGAACATTGGAGGGCAGAACACCAAGAACACTGCCGAAAACAGAATCATGTGTTTAAGAACGATAACAAAAGAACCAGGAAAAAATGTGATACAGGGACTTTTGCATAAGTTTGTGCTGAAATGCTAAATGTTTCTGTGTATTTTAATGTGTTTACATCTGGATGTGTTCTGTTTGGTATTTATAGATTTAAAAATTATTTAAAGAGGATGTTGCTATCAACAAAGTGTTGCTAGAGCTTCTTCCTTCTCAAGTTGTCTGACACAAAGAGCTGTTTCTGTTTAAATGACTGGATGTTTAATAAGTTAGACTCTCTGAAAACGGTAGATCAAGACTCATTAAGAAATTATTCTACATTTTTGGAGGCTGAATTTAAAAGTATGCGACTGTTGAAGGAGTGAAACCTCTATGTACTTTCCCTGATTCCATCCTGTTCTTAAATATTTAAACCAGACACACTTTCTAATAAACTTTTTTTGTGATCAAAGGTACAAAGGTGCTTCAGGAAGCTCTGCAGTCTGTTCCTTCACCATGGACCAAGTGGAAAATGCTTTTAATGGGCGATACCGTGAGGTCAACAGAGAGACCCAGCAGTGGTACACTTATAATCATCCTGTCCCGGACCCTCGGCCAGGAGCTGTGAGTGGATAGTTGCTGCCCTCTGCAGGAATACTTGAACATACATTGGATAAACATGGTCCTGTCAACCATAATAACTACACACTCCATATCAGTTATGCTCAAAAGGATTAATTATAAACTTCCATATAATATCAGACAAAAAACAAATTTTTGCTTTGTGATCCAGCTTAAAAAAATCTGTAAATAAGGTCACCTCTTTGTTGACTTTTTAGTGCATAACAAATGCAGCCAGAGAGCTGGGCATCACCTCCACGCTGCACATGCCGGACAAAGTGTTGAATTTTGTCAAAGACCACTTCCTGATGGACAGAGTCATCCGCAGCCAACCCCTACTTCTGAAACGTAACATACGCTACACACAGATTGTTGTGCATCGGGTCCAGACAACTAAAAAGGAGTATGATGTGCTTTTTATTGGCACAGGTAAGACATTTTCCACCAGCTATTAGAAGAAGAAAAAAAACTGTAGAAAACAAACCAGCTTGTTTTTACCACAGAAACTTCTTTTAAAAGACTTGTACCATACTTTGAACTAAATGTTCTTTTTAGGATTATTTGAGCTTATGATTGTTCTGTACATTCCCACGTCAGCAGTCAAAGTATTTTTCATAATAGTGTAAAAGAATGAAACAATACCAGAGCGTGCTAGAACGTGTCAGAAACACCAATCTTGGGCACCAAATAGCTATTACAGACTGGTTAGCCAAGAAGAAAGTGGTTATAACAAAGTGCCCAGCTGAAAGCACTCTGTGGTAGTTGTGGTATCTGTAAGCAACCAAAGCGCACCACACCAATTATGAATGTAGTAATTTAAAACTGTGAAACTCCAGCTGCATTTCAGTAGATTCAATTATGCTCCAGCTCTGAACAGCTCTGATCTGCACAGACTCTGGTATTCACATTTCTCCCAACATCTTTGCTACCAAAATGCTTTATATTAGGAGGCTGTGCTGCTTCCTCCTAGTAAAACACTGAGAGGAAGCAGCTAAAATTCTTACTGTTCTGCATAGAATGATTACATGTTTTAGTGTATTACAGTAATATAGGTGCCAAAAGTTTTTTTCATTGAGACCATCAGTCTACCAAGAGTTTATCACAACTAAATGTTGCTTTGCCCTAAAAGCCACACCACAGGTGATTCCAAAGGTTTGGCTGAGGAAGGATAGATGTTGTACAGAAATGTAACAAATGTCTTCTACACCTAATTATTATCAGTAGGGTAGAAAGTGTTTGCAGACAGTAGTTATTAATTGGATTTTATTTAAATTATTGTCTGCTGATGCAAATGCTTGGTATCTCCAAGACATAAGGACTCCTTAGAAACTAAATGCTGCAGCCAGTTTGATGGTCTGAATCTCTTCCTCCAGTATAACAGCTGTGCATGAAATTTGTTGTCTTCTCACTTTGGGTTGTTGATGATTGACATTAACCTACATTTTCTTTATATGCCAAGGGCCTGAGAGTTTTGGCCAAAGATTGTTTTTGGGATAGTCTTCTTTTTTTTTTTTGTATGTTCCCAATAAGCAGCCAAATGTTAAGGGTATCCATTAACATTTTTTTCCATTAGAAATGTTTCCTTTTAAAGATGGGAAGCCCTTTTTACTGATTTCTTATATATTCAGTCATAAATGGTAGAGGTTTTGTTTTATTTCATTTAAAAAAAGCATAGTGTTAAGAGAGCTCATACAAGAAAAATGTAAAAGAATGTGATTCATTATTTACACTGGGTTGTTGTGTTTGCTCTGAATTATTGTAAAACTTCCCTGTAAAGAATTTTAACTAATTTCAAATTAAACAATGTGTTTTCTAGATAATGGGAGACTCCATAAAGCCATCAACATCAAAAACAAGATGCACATTATTGAGGAGATGGTGATCTTCCGTGACTCTCAACCAGTTCAGCACATTGAGTTGGACACTAACAAGGTAAAGAGAGGGGTTCAGAGCCAAATGTGTCAAACCGACTATAAACCTACCAAACTATAGAGCTTTTTGGAATAAAGCCTTAACAGTTATATAAAGTGTTTCCTGTAAAAAAAAAAAAAAACTCCAATCCAAAGGAAATGTTTTTTTTAAATTGTGTTTAATTTTCCTTCTCAGTCAGATCTGCTTACAGGTTTTAAGCCTCGACTCTGTTACACTTGCAAAATGTCTGGATTTATTTTCTTTGATTTTCAGGTTAGGGCAAAATAATTAATTAAAAATGTTGCATCCCTACAGATATGTCATGGATGACAGCATAATAAAACTCAAGGAAATATTGATAATCGGTGCACTTACATTTGTTGCAACTACATTGTGGTCTCCCTCCAGGGTCGGCTCTACGTTTCGTCTCTCTCTGAAGTTGTTGAGGTCCCAGTAGCTAACTGCTCTAATTATCAGAGCTGTGGGGAGTGCATCCTCTCCAGGGATCCATACTGTGCCTGGAACAAGTGGCAGTGTGTAGATGTCAGAAGTATTCCTGCCAGCAAGTATGAACCCTTCTGCACAATATTATGGCTAAAACTCTTTATTTAGGCGAATTAACCGCAAGCCCTAATGTTTCTATCTGTTTCAGGACCCAGCACCAAGATGTAGATGAAGCAAATACATCAGCTATTTGCGGAAAGCCGAGCCCACGGGCTGCTAATCCTCCACCAACAAGTATGTGAACTCCTTCCCGTCAACTTATTGTGTCTAGTCAATTATTATCCAGACAGCACAGCTTATATCTGTCTCTGCTTTGCCTTCACTCAGGAGCTTCTTCATGCCAGGCAATAATTATCCCAGCCAACACTTTCAAAGTACTGCCATGCAAGCTGCGCTCCAATTTAGCTGAGAGAAAGTGGCAGTTCAGCCAAGGCACAGGTCACTTTCACTACCCCAGCCCAGAGGGGGGTCTGGTAGTGGTCGCTCAGGCCGGCAGACAGGAAACCTACGAGTGCTGGTCAGTGGAGGAAGGCTTTATGGAGCTGCTTGCAAACTACTGTGTAAGAGGCGAAGCCAGACAGGAGAGCACTACGCTGACGGGCCGTTCTCGTATACCACAGCTTTCCCAGGAGGAAGTTATATTTCTGCCAGGGGAAACCCGCTCTCCACAGATCAACACCAAAACCTACTGGAATGAGCTGATTGTTGTGTGCGCCCTCTTGGGGTTTTCCATCCTGGTCTTTTCTCTGTTTGTGGTCTACAGGAATCGTGACCATATGAAATCAATGCTTAAGGAGGGAGAGTGCCCAAATATGCAGCAAAAAAAGCCAAGAATAGTGAACAAACCAGCTGAGAACTTACCTCTAAATGGCACCACCGTCACAACGTCTGTGTCAGATCACAAAGGATATCAAACCCTTAATGACAACTACCTGTGCAGCACCCCTCCACATGAGTGCTCCTCGCCCGAAAACACCAAGAGCTTCTCGGAGTCAGAGAAAAGGCCTCTGAACTTAAAAGAGAGTCATGTAGAGATTTCTCCCACATGCCCGCGGCCACGAGTCAGACTAGGCTCTGAGATTAAAGACTCTATAGTGTGAGGCTGGCTGAAAAGAGCTGGAATGAGTGCGCTTGTTGGAAAAGACCAAACTTTTTAGGAGAAAGAATGCAGCGCTCTTACAGTGAAACATTCATTACAGATATTTTGCACTTTGTCTACTTTTGTTCTGTCCCTGTGGTTCAATGTGTATTTCATTTGATTGCTCTCTTTCACACAGTGCATTCAGAGCAACCCCTATATTGCCTTCTGATGCACTCACACATGGCTCACAGGAATGTAACAAGCACAGAGGTGGCATCAAAACCACTAGTTAGGGATCAAGTTTCAGGGCATTTCAAACTTTTCCGTCCATGTAAAACACTGGTACTGCTTGGAATTGCGGAATATTACCCAAAGTGTATGCCACTAAAAGTGACAGCATTGGAGGTTTTATTGTTATTCTGCAATTTGGCAGGTATCCATGCTTCATTGAGGCTACCGTGAATTTACTCGTTTCCCAAACATAAGAAAATAGACAAGTCAGACTCATGTAGGAAAAAAATAATTCAAAAATGGAAATATGAAGGGAGGAAAACAAATCATCTTTATAATGATTTGGGCCCTCTCAAAAGTGTTCAAACCCTTTGAACTTTTTCTATATTTTGTGGCATCACAACAACAAACTTTTATGTATTTTATTAGGTTTGGTATGTGACACATCAACACACAGTAGTGTATCATTATAATATCCATGGTTCATTGAAAAAAAGGACACATTTGAAAGTTTTGATTCTTTTTCGCAAAAGCCAAAAAACACCGCAAGCGAGCGTAAAAACGTAATGTGAATTTGAACATTTTCCGAATTTCCCCCCAGGTCTCTTTTTTTTTTTTCTTGCCCCTTGTTAATGCTGTGCTACTTTGTGTTGGTTTGTCACAGAAAATAAAAAATAAAAAATACATTGAAGTTTGTTGCTGTAGAGCGACAAGATGCAAAGTAGTTTAGAGGTTATGGATAGTTAGCCAGATAAGTTCAAATGTTAATAGAGCAGGGGTGCTCAAGTTCAGTCCTCAAGAGCTACTATCCTGCAACTTTTTGATTACTCCATTTTTAAAGCACCTGAATCAAATGAGTTGCTCGTTAAAATGCCTTCGCAGAGTTAAATGAGGTGATTGCACATTTGGTTTCAGGTGTTTTAGAGAAGAGATGCATCTAAAAGTTACAGAGTGGTATCTCTAGAGGACTGGACTTCAGCACCCCTATTACAGAGGCTACATGACAACAACAAAGAAAGCATATACTTCAATATAAATATGCTTTTAGGCATGTAGATTTTCAATTTTTGAGGTCTTATGTTGAATTAATTTTCTTTATCTACATGCAAAAAAAAAGAAAAAGAGAAATCTCATCGTAGTCATCATGGTATTACTCACAAGATCGGCGGTCTATGCAAAGCAAAAAAATGTGAAGTGAGGTTTAAATGCAGAGGTTGACCTCACCTTGAAACTGGGTAAGCACAAGTTATCTTTTTTTTTTTTTTTTCGAATCTACGCCACAAAAAAATAAATAAAAATCAACAACAAACAACTCATTATACAATGTGCAAATATGCAGAGCATTCTAGCCATTTTCAAAACATTTCAAAGCAGAGGGCAATGAAAACCTTGACAGGTCGGCATGACGAAACAGGATAAATTACAGAAGGTCAAGGACTGATGTTAATCTGTGGCATCTGATTTATTGCACCATACTGAAACTGTATAGATATTTATCATAATAATGTGGCCAAATGTTTTGGTTGCACAGATAGATTTTTTTTTAACCCCTCTTCAGTGTTTCAAATATCTATCACAGTTTTCACAAAGAAGTAGGGATGAATATAGACGTATTCTGACTTACTCAACACACATCTGTATAGCCTCACCATACAGTTGTCAGCTCATGAGTCTTATCTATGAAAATAACTACAAAGACATTTGCTTGCTTAACTGGCTTTGAGTGACCATCAGCGCAATAAACCCCATTCCCATCCAGAGATATACACTAGATGCAGTGCACTGAATAATGTTATTTATGCAGAAAATTACGAACAATAAACGACAACAATTGCTAAATTCATGGATATTTTATCATCATAAGTAAGTTCTGCTTTAGTTTGGCTCTGGCATTGTGACAAAATAAAGACTTAGAAAATCATAAAAATAGGCATATTACTGAGGGATTTGCACTTGATGTTTAAACGCCTTACTGTGTTGGAGGTTGTGGCTCTGAGTAACAAATTTGCCTTGACAAATAAATAAAAAATGCCTTCTGAAACAATAATCAGGTGATGTGCCTCTCGGGAGGATGAACTAACCAGGTATTAGAGCTTTAGAGTTATATGAGACACAGCAAGGTGTCAAAGAAATGGCCATACATAGCAACAATGGAAAACAGTCAAAAGACGTGTACTGTCATGCAATAGCGGTCCCATTGTGTCTGTCATTGCTTAGGGATTGAATTTTATTCTTAAATCACAATTCATAACAAAATCCTAAAATATATATATATAAAAGTATTATCATATAGAATTTCCTATTCAGGTGATTTATTTTTCTGAGACTGCCGAGCTGCGATCACTCATGCAGTGTAAAAAAAAAAGCAAACCAACTGTTAATGACGTAAACAAATTGGCAGCTTTTGGTGAAGTGACTGCTATGAACAATAATTAATGTGCTACAGTCAAATGCATTGTGGTGGTATTTTGCTCAAAAAAGATTTGCAGGTCTGTTGAATACAAGCTGAAACTAATAATGGCACTGTAAAAGTATTGTCTGCTCTCTCCTTTTGAACCACTATAGTAAGACCCTCTGTTAGACAGCACACGTTGCTTGGAATCCCTTCCACACACATTTACAGCTAGTGAACAGGTTTTTGTAAAGTTATTTTGTAACTTCAGCTGCCAATGTACAGGTATTGTGAATTGTATTTTTGTATCATACATCCCTACTGTTTTTTGTTTTGTTTTTGTATTGTATATAAAAAGCACTTTATTTTAATTTTTCAAATAAAGATAAAAATCTTTTTTTTCAGTTGTTTTATAATGATTGTGAGCTAACATCTGGCAAAATGTATTATTACCTTCTTTTTTTCTAAATCCAAAGCTAATCATTTATTTTAACTGCTATTGCACATTTAGTCTAACTTCAAATTTTTTTTGACAAGTACTTTGAATTCTTTCACAGTTTGACAATTTTAATGCACAGAAAATAATATTAAATGTTAAGGAACAATTAAATGGCAAATTCATATCTAATAGAAATGACAAAGAAATAAAAATATTTTTACAAATATGAAATAATAATGATAATATTAATAATAATAATACATTTCATTTATACTCCACTTTCCATCACAGGTAAAAAGAGAGAAAAATAAATAAATAAATAAATAAAGCATGAAAAAAACATCTAAAGGAGACCAAAAGCTTTGCTAAAAATAAATGTTTTAAGGCCTTTTTAACACTCAGTGGATTGAGGTGCCCTCAGGGAAGGCATTCCACAGATGTGGTGTAGCAGCCCAAAATGCCCTATCTCCCTTTGTCCTGAGTCTGGTTCTGATAATGTGGAGGAGGTTTGAAAGAGTGGAATGAGTGAAATGAATTATTAGAAATTAATAATAGGATAATTCATTTAATCACATTATTTTACCTTGAACAGGAGATTAAAAACAGACATTGTATTATTTTTTTTTTGTCCATTTTAAAACTTTGCATCATAAGTTATGAGTTGAATCAATCAAGAATTGTGCAGTCATTTGAATTTTAAAGAAGTATTCTGCATTCGGAGGGTTTTCGGTTATATTAGGGCCCACTTAAATGAAGTACTGGCACGCTTAACCTTAATTTTGTTTTTGCTCAGGAGGCTATTATTTTAAGTTGATATTTGCTGTTATCTATGCTCAAAATACATTTGTGGTTATTGATATAAAGATTTGGTTTATTTCATAATGTTTGAAAAATATTTTAATTAAACAGCAGACCCACTTAACCACAACATTTAGGAAACTAAAGCTTTTCAAAACTAACTCCAAAATATTCAAATCATTTTCATAATTAAGAAATCAATAAAGATAAGTGATTTTCTTTGAATTTAAACATTTAAAATTTAAGTTTTATTTTCTTTCTTAAGTTTAAATTTGTAACATACATACATACATACATAGAAACATACATAGGCCTACATATATTCATACATTCAGAGGTGTCAAGTAACAAAATACAAATACTTTGTTACTGTACTTAAGTACACTTTTTAGGTATCTATACTTTACTCCATTACTTATTTTTCTTCTGACTTCTACTCATTACATTTTCACACAAGTATCTATACTTTCTATTCCTTACATTTTTAAAACAAACATTACTCGTTACTCTTGGCTTCAGTTTAATGTTTATAAATATTTATTTCACGTCATGTGCGTCATCTAATGCAGATCATTGGCGCCATCCACATCTAGTGAAAACTAGTGTAATTAGATGAGTCAAACTGCAAACGTGAATTGTCTATGCCATGCTACAATGTCGGATTCAGAAAAAGATGTTGAAATGTCTGAAAGTTTGGACATAGGCGAGAGCGTATCGGGGATGGAGACGGAGACCAACAAGACCTCCCTCATCCTTGGCCCTATCTCAAATTTTTTTTCGAAATAGATTTTTTTTTTAAGGTTACTTTATACTTATATAGTTTAAGTAATTTTTGGAGCACATACTTTTTCACTGTTAGTTGAGCAAAGAGGTTAAGTTGATACTTCAAGTTGTCCCAGAGTTTTTTTAAACTGCAGAATCCATACTTCTAATTAATTAACAAATGTGTGTACTTTTGACACCACTACATACATACATACATACATACATACATACATACATACATACATACATACATACATACATACATACATACATACATACATACATACATACATACATACATACATACATACATACATACATACATACATACACATTTATATCAAGTTACTGGACTACCTCAATATTGTGTTTTTACTTGGATCAGACCTACCTTAACTCTTGTATTTCCAAAAGATTTATCCTGTTTTACATAATGTTTAAGACCAGGGAAAGCTGAATTGACAGATATCCACACAGTCGTGGTCACTCTTTAGAAGAAGGATAAATCATAAAAGGATGTTTCTAAAGAAGCCGGTTGTTCACAGAGGGCTGCATCCAAGCATAATTTATAGAGAAGTGAGCGGAAGGCAAATGTGTTCCGGGAAAAAAAGTCTAACAGTACCAGAGATAACTACAACCACAGGGTTGTTAGCAAAACACATCCAAGACTTTGGAAGAGCTTAACAAATGGGTAAATAAGGCTGCAGTCAGAGCTTTAAGAGTCTCTAATATCTTCTTCGCAGGTGAAAATAAAGTTTGTATTTACTTAAGAAAGCAAGGTTGCAATTTCTGGACAGTAAAGGTTGGATGCACCAAATTAACGTGTGAAGTTTTCACAGTTAGGGATTATTTCGGGTAACACTTAACTGGCATTATGGGGTATTGTTGAGAAGATTATATGCAGAAGACCCAACAATGCAGGTGACTTAAAGGCTGCTATCAAAGTAACCTGGGCTTTCATTACACCACAACTTTTCAGCTTCTAACACATAAAATGGTACCAGAGCTGACTCATGACTCAAACTGTTGGTTGAATATACACACATTTTTTGAAATTCAATTAATCATGAATGTAATAATAATTGAAACAGCATCAACAGCCAAAGTAGTTAGCTTTGTCCATTTTAAGTGATGTTTTTACAGGCAGATTGCCACCATGCAACACCATTTCAAAAAGCCATGCTAAATTCCCAATCAAGTAGCCTGGATGCCATTTTCTGTAAGACAAAATAAATAAATAAAAAAAGAATGACAATAAAGATTTGAAATAGTATACCAATATTGTAAACCTTTGAAATATATGATTTTGATCTTCTAAAAGAGTGACTAAAATGTTTAACATTTTATTAAATTTTTTTTTTTTCTTTTATAGGCTACTTTCAGCCTATTTAAACTTTTTCAGGATGGAACAATTTCCTCATAATTTCAAAATGTTGTTATACAAAGCCTGGGCGGTTCTATACAGGGGCCAGTGCCCCTGTAGAAAATATCCTGGCCCCTCTTATGGCCCCTGTGCTGAAGACATACTACTAAAAGAAATCCTAATGATGATATGCACTGGAACAGACATGGTTACTGATAGGTCATTTGGATCTATTTTCTTTTCTTATTTAAAAAAATAAAAAATAAGGCAATAGCGTCAGTGGAATTGAGATAGGATCCAAGTTTTCATCTGCTAAATGTTTTTTCAAAACAAATACTCTAATTTTGACTGCCAAATGTATCAGTTTTTCTTGAGTTCTAATTCAGATTTTATAGAAAACTTTAATTTTACCTTAAATTAAGTCAAAAAAATTAAAAATTAAATTCCTAAATGATGAATGTATATTGACATAATAAGACATACATTTTAATTAAACCTAATTGAATGAAAATTTCACTTCCTGCAGCTCTCTTAATATATTTGAATCCCTTGCCCTGTTTTTTTTTATTCCTGTCTTTTCTGTGCCCCCATGAAAACAAGCGGGCCCCCTCCTGGCCCCGTGGCACATTTGATCTAGAACCGCCACTGAGACGAAGGTATCTTCTTTTTTGAGCTGCTCTACACTCACCGGCCACTTTATTAGGTACCCCATGCTAGTAACGGGTTGCCCCTTTTGCCGTCAGAACTGCCTCAATTCTTCGTGGCATAGATTCAACAAGGTGCTGGAAGCATTCCTCAGGGAGTTTGGTCCATATTGACACGATGGCATCACACAGTTGCCGCAGATTTGTCGGCTGCACATCCATGATGCGAATCTCCCGTTCCACCACATCCCAAAGATGCTCTATTGGATTGAGATCTGGTGACTGTGGAGGCCATTTGAGTACAGTGAACTCATTGTCATGTTCAAGAAACCAGTCTGAGATGATTCCAGCTTTATGACATGGCGCATTATCCTGCTGAAAGTAGCCATCAGAAGTTGGGTACATTGTGGTCATAAAGGGATGGACATGGTCAGCAACAATACTCAGGTAGGCTGTGGCGTTGCAACGATGCTCAATTGGTACCAAGGGGCCCAAAGAGTGCCAAGAAAATATTCCCCACACCATGACACCACCACCACCAGCCTGAACCGTTGATACAAGGCAGGATGGATCCATGCTTTCATGTTGTAGACGCCAAATTCTGACCCTACCATCCGAATGTCGCAGCAGAAATCGAGACTCATCAGACCAGGCAACGTTTTTCCAATCTTCTATTATCCAATTTCGATGAGCTTGTGCAAATTGTAGCCTCAGTTTCCTGTTCTTAGCTGAAAGGAGTGGCACCCGGTGTGGTCTTCTGCTGCTGTAGCCCATCTGCCTCAAAGTTCGACGTACTGTGCGTTCAGAGATGCTCTTCTGCCCACCTTGGTTGTAACGGGTGGTTATTTGAGTCACTGTTGCCCTTCTATCAGCTCGAACCAGTCTGGCCATTCTCCTCTGACCTCTGGCATCAACAAGGCATTTCCGCCCACAGAACTGCCGCTCACTGGATGTTTTTTCTTTTTCGGACATATCTCTGTAAATCCTAGAGATGGTTGTGAGTGAAAATCCCAGTAGATCAGCAGTTTCTGAAATACTCAGACCAGCCCTTCTCGCACCAACAATCATGCCACGTTCAAAGTCACTCAAATCACCTTTCTTCCCCATACTGATGCTCGGTTTGAACTGCAGGAGATTGTCTTGACCATGTCTACATGCCTAAATGCACTGAGTTGCCGTCACGTGATTTGCTGCTTAGAAATTAAGTGTTAACGAGCAGTTGGACAGGTGTACCTAATAAAGTGGCCGGTGAGTGTATGTTTACACAATGGTGACGCATTATTTGCTAAAATAAGTTAAATGTATGATCTGTCAGTGATAAAACCTCCCTATGCGCCACACACCAGAGTAAATACACGTAAGCGTCACCTCCTATCTCTTTCTGGATCTACTGCACATACTGTAACACCGCTCCTCTCGCCGCCGTGCGTAAAAGGAGGCACCTTGGTCCATTGATTCGCCTCCCACTGGCGACACCTGGACCAATCCGTTTCTCCTTAAAGGAACAAAGCTTTTATTTTTCCGCAGATGCCTATGATGAAGTGTTTCCATCCTGAGCTGAGTAACCCTATCAAACATTTCCATTCGCTAAAAATTTGAATGCGTTTTTATCAGAAACTATGTACCGACTCAGCCTTAGGCGGCTGTTTTCCGCTTGCGATGTGAATAAGTCCGGAAGAATCGAGTATGAGGACTTCACAGCTGTGTGCAGGGAGCTCGGCGTCCCAGAGACAGAGTTTCAAACTCTGTTCATGAAGTTCGGAGCAGATGAGGTCGGATACATCGACTACTGTCAGTTTTCTTCAAGGTTTCAGGAAGTTTCGGAGACTCTCAACCTCGCGTCATTTGGCGCTGGAGCAACTCAAACTCCGTGGGAAGAGTTTGTGGACAGGATAGATGAGGAGTTTGTCCTCCCTGAAAGGTAAACACATTAAACGCCTTCAGGATCCACTGCTGCGTCTTAGTAACCCTGTTTTGCATTTTTTTGTTTTTGTTTACTTTTTAATGTTTTTGATCATGATACAACTTTAAAATGTAACGTTTTTTTGTGTTTTACGCGAGAGACAAAGCCGTGCGTAACAATGAAGTGAAAGGGAAGCGATGCTTGGTTCTCATATATGCATATTTTCCTAATTTGAGAAGGGTGCCATAGATTTGCATAGTGTGAGAAAATGCCAAACCTATATTAGATTTTAATTGGAGACACTGTAATTATTTTTTCTCTTTGTTTGAGGCCTTTGCTTTAAGTCTCATGTCATTTGCAGCATCTTGAAGATTTTGTTGCAATTAGCCCCAACAATTTGTACTAGGTGTTCCATCCCCACCGCATAATGCTGCCACCACCATGCTTCCATTTGAGGATGGTTTTATATATAGATGCTAATCTTTTTTTAATGCAGTTGTGCTATAATGTTGTCTTGTTTTGATGTTGGATCTGTGAAATTATCTACATAGGCTGTGTTCTATTTAAGGATGCAATTAATCAATTAATGAATTGATCCAAAGTTTCAATTCAAAAGATCAATTGACTAACAATTGTCAAGCAACTGTTCTCTATAAAAACCTAAGTTCCCTCTTGTATAAAGACAGCCTTAACCTTACTTGAGGGATGCATGCTTAATTTTAACAATTGATTATGAAGCTGCATCACATATTTTGATTAAAAAAACTAAATGTGTTCGGTTACTGAAAATAATATATATAAAATTATATACCGTAAATAAAATAAGTTAAACAGTTATGATACTCCATAAACAGAGATTTAAAATTATCATATGAAAAAAGTTGTCCTGATATACTGTCAGACATGCTTTAAGCTTTGTCTGAATAAAGTGGACGGTAACTGTGATATAGGTCTGTGTTTAGGACGGTCCAACATTAGGTTGGTGACAGTGACACGAGGTGCTGTTAGCCATGCTTCTAAACAATGCTTCTGGTTGCTCTCAAACAAATGTTAAAGAGCCTATATCATGGGAAATCAACCCTTTTGACCTTTTAGCTCTGTTATAATGCTGTTTATCAAAATCATGGACAAAGTGCTGTTTTGCTTTCTTCATGGATGTGTGAGTGATCCTCATGAATTGTCTTTTCTGAGAGACAGCCTCTCCCTGTCCTGTGAAAACCAGTAGTCAGAGGTTATGTAAAGCTGCACCCTCCAGGAAACATCTACTGTATTTTCACCACACTGAGCCTATGTTGTAAAGAAACTGCCACTTTTAGAAACGCCCTCTTTTAGCTGCTTATCTGTACAGCAACTTTGTTCAGACAGCAGAATTGTCTTAAAACAGCGACATCATGAAATAGATGGAACCCAGACAAGAGAGGCAGCTTCGCTTTGAAGTGTTTTTCATCCAGTGATGTTATTTCATCATGGCCTGCCATGCAAAACTGCTGAATGCCCTCTATATAGATGAAAACTTAAGGAGATGATGAGTTTTTATAGCTAAAATAAAAGGTTAGATTGCACTCTGCATCCTTGTCACCACCAAACAGAGTAAAATAGTCAGACAGACAAGCTTACAAAATTTAAAGTAAAGGAATCGTTTGACATACAACGTTTCCATCCCAAAGCAAACACTTCCTGATCCGCTATGAATTATGCATTACACACGGATCAATACAATTTCCATTACTCTAAAAAAGCAAAGAACAAAAATTATTCTTTTAATATTCTTTCTACTTTGGGAATTTTGGTTTTATTTCTTCAATTTACCCCTCACTTACTGCTGCTCAGGGGTCAAAGTCGATTTAAATTCACAGGGTTTTGATATAAAAAAAAATAAAAATACAGAGAGAACCTACGTAATTGCCTTGCAATGCCATACCAATCCAGACCTAAATTGAATGTATATGCTAACTAAAATGTTAAAATATTTAAAGGAAAGAGAGATCAAGTTTTAATGACAATTCAAGGAAACATTTACATCATATTTAAATAGATAGAAACGACAACTATGAGAAAGAAATATTCAAAGATCTATGTACCTTTTCACCTGGCTCTTTATTAAATTCAATTCAATTTCAATTCAGTTTATTTATAGAGCGCCAATTCACAACACGTCATCTCAAGGGACTTTACAGTTCGATCAGATTATACAGTCAAATTGATTCAAAGTTTTTCTATCTAAGGGAAAATTAGGTGATTGCATCGACTCATTGACTCAAATACAATCCCTCACACTAAGCATGCTTGTAGCGACAGTGGAGAGGAAAAACTCCCTTTTAACAGGAAGAAACCTCCAGCAGAACCAGGCTCAGTGTGAGCGGCCATCTGCTGAGGCCGACTGGGGTTCAAGGAGACAGAAGCAGAGGTACAAAAAGCAGCTGTAAAAGGCGGCCCCGTTCAGGAAACACACAGCTAGGCAGACAAGCTCCGAGCCAACACCCATGTCAGAGGATGAAGAGAGCACATCCAGCCAGTCACGGTCAGAGAAACAGGACTACACTGGAAAACAGGCAGATCTCCAGCATCTATAAACAAGGGTGTTGATGGAAGCAGCACAGCTGGTGTCTCTCTATAGGATGATGTCACAGATGTCACCAATCATTTGTTTTTTGCCCAGCTTTTTCAGTTTGTTGAGCATTTGGTTGCCTTTGCCTATTTGTTGTCGGCTATAAGTTTTTTTTCTATTATTTAGCCTCAGGGAGCAGCTGGCTGACCTTTACCAGGTCATTCACTCCTCTGCAAACACCACTCTTCTCAAGGAGTATGAGGAAATCATCCGATCTCTTCTCAGTTTAAGCCTGGAAAACAAACTAAAGTGTGAACAGTTGGAGACATCTTTGAAGCGGTAAGAAAAATAACACAAGTATTTGTTTTAAAAAGTGACAACCAATTTGCTTTTAATCATAATAACATTCTTTGAGGCCAATAAAGTCCTGTTCAGATCACCCGATCCTCCAAATATTGCTTATAAAAGCTTAATTTAGTCTGACCATAAGTAAAAGGTTTTACCTTCATGTTAAAACAGAAAATAATTGTCATAAATGGTGGCTCCATATCAACCCATTTTGTCCTGTTTGTTCTGTTTAATTATTTATACCGTCTTTTCTAATGATAGATTATTTTTTTACCATGCTTAATTCAACAGTTGTTAATAAATGACATAGTAAATGTTTCCCAAGATTAACTGGGATTATAATGGAATTTGTTTTTGCTTCCTGGTGATCGTAAATAACAAAGCTTTTGATTCCGAACAGACAGAACTGTCACTGAGCTTGGGTGCAGTTTACTGTGCCATCTGTCAGCTGGTTCATCATCATTATGTTCAACTAAAGCTTCTGCTGCTTCGTATTTATCTTATTGAGAGCTCCAATAATTATTCTTTGGAATATTCAGGTAAGTCTCAGATCTCAGATTTATGTTGTTAGTTTCACTCTATGGACTTACCACATCTTTTTTCCTGAGATACGCTTCGGTTTGTGACATGCATGTATGCACAATAGTTCATTTTTTTTGACCCACAAGGAGAGTGCCCTTATCTTTTTTTTTTTTTTTTTTTTACATACATTTTTTTTTTTTTTTTTTTATCATTTTATCATTTTGTTCTTTAGCCTTTTGAAATAGGCTACTTATATGACGTGCACTATAAATGATATAAAACAGTGGTGAACAGTCAGGGCTTTCGAAGTCTTTTCTGCTGGCCTATAATCATCAAAAGCACTGATCCACATTCACAACCTAAACTTTAATTTTCTTCCATGCAATGGGATTACTTATTCCAAACAATCGTTTTTCCTAATTCCATAGCATTTCTCTTGGCTGAGTTTTTGTCTTTTTTGCTAGAGTTTTTGTCCAATCAGACTTCAGGCTGTGTGCATTGCTATGTCAATCAAATCTTCCCAGGGCCTTCAGAATCATTAGGGAAGGCTGTTGTTATCTTAACAGTATTAATGAGGGACGGTTTCTTTAAAAAAATTGGATTTCAGATTTGCCCCACACTTCCAGCTAGCGGGCTTACCTGATATCAGCATTTTCTCTCCTCTGATTGGCTAGTTAGAGCAAAACATGGATCCCTGGTATGATATGTTTTGTTTGTATGCTCTATCTTATCATTACATTGTATATTTGTATAGTATTGATAGTTTCTTTCATTAAAGTATGAAATTTGTGATGTTAAGAATTTAATTTGGGAGAAGCCCCCTGAAGGCCTAGCCAGATGCACCACCCACCACTGATATAAAATGTTTTTATTTGGATGATTATTGGTATAACATGCAACTATATGGATTAGTTTCTCATCTTTCTTTGACAGCAACTTCCATATTGCCTGTAGAAAGCACATTCTGCTCATTTTAAAGGGGCAGAAATAAACCAGTTTGCACATCTAAAAATCTGCTCCGTAATCTTTCTTTTTCAGGGACAGCACAATCAACTATCGCATGTGCAAAACATTGCTATTTAGTGCCCCTTATTTTTAGTTTTCAATATTGTCTGATTTTACCCTAAATCTCAGACAGGAAAAATCTCCCTGTATCTCTCTACACTGGTTCTGCGCAGTTCGCAAAAAAGTATGAAAAGTCTGGTATGAGAAGCGAGTAAGACTGGAATCTGCTTCTGCGTGAGACTTTAGTTGCACTTTAACAAACATGTAAAAAAAAATAATTCTATTTTTCTTTGAGGACTGGAAAAATTATGTAGTGCGTCCTCATTTTGACCCCCTCCTTTTAAGTTCTCTAACAGTAAGATTCAAAGATGTTTTTTTTTTCTTCATGTTCTTAACATCAGGGTGTAAGAACAATCTTTACCTCTGTCTACCTGTGTTTGTTCCAGGAGTTATGGATTTTTTTACAGTTATTTTAAAAGTTATGGATTTTAATATATATTTTTGAAAGCTTGTGAGTCTATAATTTCTTGTAGCCATACTTTAGTTTATAGAGCATTCACCTTGCTTGAATGAATAACCACTTTTTTAGACCATCTCAAATAAAACTTAAATGTTATTCTAGTCAACTTAAAGAGCATATTGCAGTGCGTCTTTATATTCATATAAATAGAATAGAAAAATCTTAAGACCATTACATTTTTCAAAACGGTTCAGATTAGTTTTTTTTCTCTCTACATAATCAATGTAAACTGATTTAAATGTTTTATTTCTTTTCTTATTTATTTATTTTTTAGAACATTTCAGTGTGGGTTTATGCTACTGCAATAACAGATGATATCTTTGTAGGCATTTTTTTTAAGGCTATGCTTACGTTTGTGGAAGGAGGCTTTACGTGCTGGTTTGGAAACATTCATTGCTGCAACTTCCAGCTACTAAAAGCAGTCTATTGTTTAATAATAGGCCATTTTCGACTAACCAATTACCCTAACAGGCATGTTTTTGGACTGTGGGAGGAAACTGCAGTAATCAGAGAGAACCCACACATGCAGGGTGAGAGCATGCACCCTCTGTTTAGAGAAACCCACGGCCGTCATATGAACCCAAGGCTTTCTTGCTCCAATGAAAAAAATCAAGTTAAAAATTGTAAATTTGCAAGGGCTATGAATACCTCTGTTCTCCTTCTCCTCACCTTATAATATTTTCATTATCAGGAGCTTGTTGGAGCTGCTGGTCTCTACCATTTGTAGTGTTTTTGTTTTTTTTCATAGAAAGGTTTGCTTGTAGCATGATTAGTCATTATGGACTAAAGTTACAGAAAGGTGTTTATCCAGCTTTAGAAATCATTTTTTTTTTGCTGCCTGTTTCAACAGTAGCACCACAACAACATGAGATTCAGTCTTTTGTCTGGGAACAAACAGATTTGTTTGATTGCAATCAAACAGCCCTTGTTTTAAGTAGTTTTTTTATTTTGCAAAGTTGGTATGGGGAAGCAGTGAACATCACTGAATTTCTGACCATTCTATGCCAGAAGGTGAGGATTGTGCAGAGAGGTTAGAGCAGTAGATGTGATAACAACTCAGAACCTTTTGCCTACTGGATGAGCTCTCTCTCTGGTTGAGCAAGTGCGCTGCAAAAGACAAGTTGCATTCCTTCGCATAAGGAAGTAGGAACCTTTAAATATGCTGCCCCACCCAGTTGTTTTATTTATATTTTTAGAAACTGAGCATGTCTCCTCATTGTGTTTAAGTGATGTCTGGGAATTGATCAGCAATGTGAACTGATGAGCGTGTTCAGGAAACAATCAGTAAATCTTAACAAAACTTTCCCTCAGATCAGCTTGGTCTGTGTGAGTAGTAGTGAGTAGTCATCAAGGCTGGAGTTTTGGATCTTGCATATGAATGAAAGTAACCTGGATTCTTCTTTTCTTGGACGTTTGCTGGATGAACTGTTTTGGTTGGATAGATTTGAGGTTGCTGTTCAAACCTGAGTTTTCCATTCTGTTAAAACAGAGCTGAAGAGATAAATACCAGTCAGCTTGCAGAGATGGAAGATGATATTCAGCAACACCTTTCCCGAGCAGAGGAGCGGGTGAGAGACGAGGTGAGTACCATACAAACTAACTTGTTCTTTGATTCATCTTTAACAGAGAAATAATAATATCAGTCACAAAAGGATATATTATAAGAAAACATATAACTGGAATGTATATGTATAGTATTTATAGTGCATAAGAATTTCAACTGATATTAATAGTTTATTTCTACCTGGGTTGCCTAAGTACAGTGGAATCCGCTTATAGTGTTCACGGATATACAGTAGTAATCAACCGCTTATATAGATCAAAAGACTTGGGAAAGAATCATTTCTATACAAATGCTCTTTAAACAATTTGTTATAGTAATCAAGAAATCCGCTTATAGTTTTGGCCATTTTATGAATGCATACATGTGCAAAAATAATTTTAAAATTACGCGTACATCTCGGAGGTACAAGAGCGCTTTGGTGCGTGTACCAGTGCTGCGCGCAGCGAGGAGGGGGAGGAGGATGAAGAAGTGGAGACTGTTGTCCCTTCCAGAGCTGAGATGAGGAATGCAGTTTGCATTTTGAAGACTGGTCTCCTGCATGTTGGTTTGAAAAACTTTGACGTTTTACATCATTTTGAAAAAGAAGTATACTCGGTGTTGGACAACACTCTGATCCAGGGAACCATGGATAGATATGTTAAGTGATTTCTTAATGGTGGGCAGCCGATCCGCAACACAAAACAGAAGTAGGCTAGCTTAAATTTTTGTGTAGCTTATGCAGTTATCTTCTATGTTGTTGTTCTATGAAAATGTTTGTTTCAAACTTTATTTTCAGACATGTTAAAAAAATGCACCAACAGCACAGCAGAGCCGACACACAGAATAACTTACATAGGCCTACTGTAGGCTATCAGAGTTATGTCGGCACACTGTGCAGTACAGTGCTGTGCTGATTAAACATTTGTTTCAAACTTTTCAGACATGTTAAAAAAAATGCACCGGCGTCACAGCAGAGCCGACTCCCAGAATAAGTTACATACTGTAGGCCTACTGTAGACTATCAGAGTTATCCGCCGTGCAGTACTGTGCTGTGATTAAGCATTTGTTTCAAACATACTTTTTCAGACTTGTTAAAAAATTGCACCGGTGGCACAGCAGAGCCGAACAAACAGCACATAATAAGTTACGTAGGCTACCAGAGCTATGTCTGCGCACAGCGCAGTATACTGTAATTAAACTTGCATGGTACTGTGATTAAAATTCAGTAAATCCGTTTCGTAACCACTACAGTATGAGCGGATTCCACTGTATTTGTGTTGCAGGCTAAAACAGCAGGTTATGGGTCTTTCTCACAAAGAGGCTCTGTAACGTCTGATGAAAGCCCCACTTCAAGCTCTTGGCCACTATGCACCTCTGACTGCGCTGGTGTCATGTTTGCAGGAGCAAAAGAAAATGGAAGGAATCATAGCAACCATGCAGAGGAAGCACAACAATGAGGTTGCAGACCTGCATGCCACAGCTGATCAACTGTTAAAGGTAGGTTTTCCTCTGAACATGCATGCCTGTTTCTATGGAAAATTGTTTAAATGTTTTAACTTCTAGGGGATAAAACAGTCCACCAAGAAAATCTATTGAGTAAATCCAGCAGATATTTAATATATACAGGGATTTGACATGCATGTCTGAAACATGTTGCCTATTGTTACTAGAGGAAATGATGTACAGACGGTTCTTTCTTTCTCAGGAGTGAGAGAATTAGACTAGCACTAGATATTTTACTGTAGATATCGATCCATAGATAATGTGGATTCACATCTACCTACATACCTAGAAGGCATTGCAGAGATTATTGCTGCCTTATTCTTGACCTGCACAGTCCTGGATGAAATCTGAACCTTACCTGATCTTTTTTTATGGCTTAACCAGAGCAGGCAGTGATGAATAAGTAAAGCAGCGACTAAATAATCCTGTTTATAACCACCACCTTGAGGAAAGGTTGTACTTAATTCATAACCTGTGCTTGGCTTTCTGCACACAGTGTCTGAGTGTGAGCACAACCTCATATCCTAAAGAAGTTCCATCCTAAGAATCTGATATGCATCAAATTAAACTAATGTTGTTTAGTAAGTGTAAGACAAGGGCATGTGATCTCATTCATTGTTTTTTTGGGCTCTAGTTATTCTCTCTGCAGCAGTGGACTAGCTGATCTACCTCTTTACTTTGTATAGACTTATAATTTTACCAGATCAGAACAAACTAAAGGAGTCTCACAGACTGGTCCACTGAGCTACTGCCATTTGTTTGGTGCAAAGCTGTCAAATTTAAGTCCTTGAGGCCTGAAATCTTTATGCTGCAACTTTAAGACATATTTGTTTAAAAGATGCTGAATCACATAATCGGATATCATTATGCCATTTGATTCAGGTGTGTTGGACAAGGAGCAATATAAAAGTTGAAACTCCAGACCTTTCGGACTCATTGTTGTAAATTTGCAATGGCTATGAATACCTCTTTTCGGGCCGATTCTCCAGTCGTGTGAGAATTTTTCGATCAGGCCGAGTTTCAGCCTCCTCTTGCGTCCTGCATCGTGTAGTATACAAGGGGCGATTTGCCTCTCACGACCACCTACCTATGAGGAATCGTAAGGTCGGGAGAAAATCAAACATGTGCCATCTCTTTGCGCTGAGTCCCACATTTGGTTTTTGGACTTACAGTGTGAGCAGGTAGGTTGCATCAGAGCGTCGGGCAGCAAAGTGTGAGAACATGCATCAAGAGCTGTGAACGTTTAAACCCTGAGTTTTTGTCATACAGTTTCAGCTGTAGCTGCATGCAACGGTTGAAAATATTGCACAGTGTATGGCCAGCTTAAGATTGGCACATGGAGCCGTTTGCATATCTGGTTGGCGTTGTCTAGGTCGATGGTGTTAAAGGCTAAGCTGAAAGCTGTGGGAAGTCCAGGGACCATATTTATCAAACTTCTGAGAATTATTCCTAAGATGACTCTTAAGTGTGGACTTAAGAACACAATATTTCCAAGTTAAATGCGGGAATTAAAAGTTATTTATCAAATGTGTCACTCACACTTTTAAAAAAGTGTAGGACTTAGATGATGTCTTTGAATTGACCATTTGCTTAACGGAACTGCTTATTGTTGGCTGGCATGGCCCAGCTTTATCACCAGTATTGCACAACTTAAATATTGGAATAAAATCTGGCAGACCAATTGAAAACACCTAAATCAAGATAAAAAGCTCAATATTTCAAAAAAGCTTTTATTAGATTATGAGGTTTTTCCAGAACTGTTGATGTGCATCGCCAAAAACACAGCAGAGTTGTTCATGATTTTTCATCATGAGGCTCCTTTATGAGTTTAACTTTGGAATATGAGTGATCTGGGAAGTTTTAGTCACATTCAAGACTATTAAAAAAAAGAAAAATCTAAAATAAGCTTAGGTGATATTGGACAACATACGGACATGCTGTAAGTTCATGCATTTGTGCCGACAGGCCACCAATTATTTATGTAATTTCCATGCATTTGTAACACACGGTTATGACTTGCTTATCTCATAGCCACTATTTATTATTGCACAGCCATTAGATAATCCTGTGGCCGCCCTTAAGTGACAATGGCCTCCAGTTTATTTCCTCCTAAATGATGTTTTCAGATGTTGTTTTGTGAGAAACTGTAATAGAGATATAGTTCATATTCCATTACCTGCTAGAGCACTGGAACTGCTTTTAGTTCGAGCCTGAAGCTCTGCTGCACATGGTTACTGATGTGATAATGACCCTTATTAAGTTCATAACTTCATAAATTATACCCGCTCTGTTCAAACAATACCGTTTGATCAGCTGTATGCCATCAAAGCCTAAAGGTCTTCCGCTCCCAGGAATTGCACATCTCTCTTTTGTCAATACCATCCTCTAGTGGCAACTCCTACCCATTTTAGACACCTCAGGAGGTCTCTTTGATATTTGGAGGAGTAAGAGTGATTCTTGGTTTTGGGAAAGTTCATAAATAGCTTTTGTAATGTTTGAGAGTAGGAGTAAATCTTAGTACTTAGGAGTAAAAAAGCCCTTTAAGAAATCTGATTAATATGACTCCTGATCTACAGTATAAGCAAACTGCACACTGTCCAGGAGGAGGCCTGTGAGGTCTTTATTTCAGTCATCAAAACTGTGTTTGCAGCTCATTTTGCCATTTGTGGAACGTTTTTAACTGTTCACAGCTCATTTCTTTTTTGTTTGCTTTATTTTTCTTTTTTTGCTAGAGTGTTTTCATCACATATGTTTTTGCAGCTCGTTTAGTCATTTGTCACCATGAAAACCCACTAAATATAAATATGTGGCTGCAAGATGGCAGAATGTTGTCCGGTTCATGTGATAATTTGATTGTGAATAGCTTCAGGTATTTAAGGAAGAAGTGTGTTCTGTAGCCAGTATGAAACCAACACACAACAGCAATTTTTTTTTATTTATTTTTTTTTTTTTCTTCTTTTTTTTTCCCTTTTTGCTGTATTGGAGCCAACATACACTTTGTTTGAAATGGCTCTGTACATAAAATAATCAATCTGGATGTATTTTAATAAAGCATCCCTTTGTGGAAGCAATTGCTGCTTTGGTCCTGTAGATGGCGACAGTTGACAGTAAACGGCTTGTCCTGCTTTGAACCAGGATTACTGACTATTGGCTGCTAACACTGAGGTGAAGACTGTGTGGGCTGCTCAATTAAAAGGGATTGAGGAAATGTCTAAGCATTGATACCAAACTTTTATTTATATGACTTTATCTTGCTAGATGTAGTGCAAGTAATGGTACCTAATCGTAATGGAATAGACCACTAGAATGTCAAAATAATTGATGAAAAAAAAAAAAATCTAAACACACATGTAAGAATACAGAATTCCTGATAAAAAGTTATTGGTTTCTTTTTAGCGTAATGCTAACTGAACCAATACAGCACCAGGATTAACTAAACCTGACTGTTAGTCTGGTTTGGAGCAGACTAGTTGCACAGAATTAATCACCATAAGTGATTTATATGTCACTGATTTGGTAAAACAGTTTCTTAAGCCAGAAAAAAATATCATAATTTGTATAATGGTTGCAGCAGAATAGGTGATTTGGTCAAAATGACAGCCACCTATTCAGCCAAAATGACATTCTGTTTTCAAAATAATGGGATGATAACTTGTGAGGGTTCAGAAAACCAAAATTGGTGCAGACTAAAAAACAGAACTGCTGATTTAATTAAATAGTTTTAACAAAATGTTCATCTGGCTTTGTTTGAAGAACAAGGAAAGCTCTGAACTAAACCAGTCAAAAGAGGAGATGATCCGACTGAACAGACGGATAAGCGATCTCCTACAGGTAAGGAACATCAGACTTGAGATCAGTCATATATATACACTGCAAAAAATGTAAATCTAAATAAGTAATTTTTCTTAAAACAAGTGAATTTATTCTTGAATTGAAGAGGTAAGTGGGACATTTTGCAAATGGAACAAGACGATTTATATTTAAAATAAGAAAAAAACTATTGCTTTGTCTTATACAAGTGCATATTATCTAATTATCTTATTTCAAGAGTAAAAATACTTATTCCATTGGCAAATCATCCCATTTGATAAAATTAAGGGTATATACACTTGATTCAAGAAATTTTTACTTATTTCTAGATCATTTTTGCAGTGTAGGTTCAGTTGAATGGTGTTAAACTTTGTCTTTTTGCAGGAAAATGAGCAGCTGCGAAGTTCTCTGATTAAAAACCAGACAAACGTGGCTGTACTTCACTCTGAGCTGGACAAGCTAAAAAACATATATGCAGACCAGAAAGCCCAACATGAAAGGTAGAAGATCTCTTCTGGCCCAGTTAGTATTTTGTGATCTATCATCTATCCGAATTTTTTAAAAGATTGTAATTTTTACAGAGAAATGGAAGGGTTAAAGAAGATGATGATGGAATATCAGTCATACTCCAATCAGATTCAGATCCTACAGTAAGTCCACACTAAATAAGTTTTTCTGTTTTGGAAGATTAAATTAAGAAGGCATTTATTTCAGGGATTATTATTATCTTACAGTCTCAATATATAAAGGAATATTTAAAGAAGCAAAGATTCTAAAGTCAGCCTGAAAGTAAAAAAGATCAGCAGTAGAAAATCAAACATGAGCAACACTGATGGAATTAGAGGTGAGGAGGTGGCAGAGTGACAGAAAAGGAGAACTAGAGTCTGTAAAGGAGTGAAAATATGTCGTTTTATACAGTCCTCCATTTGTTGCCCGCAAAGTAGTTGTTGGACCAAAATAATATACACAATTCTGGCCCAGCCTGATGTTTTCTTTACAAGCTTAAGTCTGTTGTGATAAAAGAGCTACAATAGTATTATTGAGTTTTGGATGTAACCAAGTAATCTACAAGTAGGGCTGTGTTGTTACCTTAATGGGATGGGATTTTTATAAATCGAGGATACTATAAAACAGGGCAAGAAAACTCTAAATTTGATTGAAATTGATTGAGGTCCTACCATTGAGAATGTTTGTTGCTATGGAATTTTTTAAAAAGTCAGAAGAAAAATAATTAATAATAATTCATTTTTCCTACCAAGTCCAAGAATGAAGATACTTTTATGGTATGCAGAGAGGATTTATTATTATTTTTTGCAAACGAACAAAAACCTGTTTCTAAAAATGTGATAAAGAGGTAAAATATGGTAAAAACAAAAAGGGTGCCTAAAACACTACCATGGGGAGCACCACTGGCAACTGGTGAAGCTCTTGATCTGTTCTGGCTGAAGCTGTTTTCGAGAAGTATTACAATTAATCAGCAGAGACAAATCTCACAGTTTGAGCTGCCAGAAAGGAAGAACAATAAAAAAACTATTGGGCAGCATAGTGGACTTTGAGTCAGTACAATAAAATAGAATACAGTATAAAGTGTTCTCTGTTGTTTTTGTTGGTCTGGAGGTTGAGGTGTGTCCTAACAAACAGAAAGGCTTTGCATCACACAGTCAATTATACCACTTTTGTAGTTATGCTTCTTTTGCTTCTTCTGAACAAACTTGTTAACTATGTCATTTAGCTCTGTTTTGAATTGAGTTTTGTATAATGTGAAAAATTTGAATGCCCCTAAAGTCTCTGGCAAGTAAATATTAGTAGAAATGTTTTTGTTTTGTTTCTTATAAATAAGAGATGTGCAACTTGACAAAAAAACAAAACAATTTTAAGATGTCATTTTTAAAAAGTAAAATCATGTAATGTAACCTTTCACATGAAATAATAGTTTTCAAGATAATACCACGCTCTTTGTGCAAATACCGTTTGCCCAAAACAAAAACCAAAAATTAACAAAATAAGGGTTAAAATAACAATAAAATTAGCCAGGTAAATTGAAGACAGATCTTAAAAAGCGGAGGCCGATATAGAATGTGCCTTATGGATGATATCACAATCTCTCCATCTTTCTAGATCAATAACAAACACCAACATTTTACCATCTGATATTTTGATGAAGCCCATTTCTACAATAAAGATTATGTGGAAAGCTGGGTCAGAAAGCAGAAACAGGCAATTTATGATGTATATTCCATTAAAGAGAAGTTTTGATGAATCCCACTGAGCTTTGGGTTGTTAAGACAACTGTTTGAAAAAGCAAAGAAAACAAAACATGCTCTAAATACAAACATCTTTATCATGTTACTGAAAATCTGCAAGGTAAAAAAAAATCCTAGCTATTTAAACAAAATAACTTTCAAAGTGTTCCTTGTGAGCAGTGATTGACCAGACTAAACAGAGAGATGGTGGCTCATTATAAGCAAGATAAAAAGAACAGAAATGAAGGAATGAGGAAGAGATTAACTCTTTTGGCATTGTTTTTTTTTTATGCTTACCGTAGTTGTACGATGGTTAATTATGTGCTATTTTGTTTTCTTAATCACATTAACAGGGAAATGAACAAGAAGCTGTATGACAGTAATGATGGCCTGCGCTCAGCATTAGCTGGTCAAGTGGTTTCAGCTAAAAGGAGGGTAAGATCCTTGTTTGCTCAGCTATGTTTCCTCATATCTGCTGGATTTGTTTCATAAAAAAAAAAAAAAAAACTGAAAGATATCAGAGCTTCAAGATTAAAATGTTTCCTCCATGTCACTTCTAAACCACACAACAGCGTTCTCCTCAAGATGAAATCCCCGCCAGGAGAATAAAACCTCTTCGACAGAGCACGCTCAATCATGGCAGGTAGATGCAGCTCTCATTTCTTCTCATTTATGTGATTCCTCAGATTGATCTTTAGGTGAGTTGTAATGCGATCTTATGTGTGGACAGGTCCGAGCTTGATCCCAGCCTCCTCCATGTATCAACCTGGGCTGAAAGGTACCTAGACAGTGGCTTGTCCATACCAATGGACACAGCAGAGAGCTCAGCCAGTGACTATGATAGTGACGACAGCAGGAGCTCTGTGGAAACTGTCCATCTCAGCTATTCTTGTGTCCCATCGGATGTGGAGGTGAGGTGGATAAAAACGGGGCAGGATACATTTAAAACAGAAAGGCAGTTTGCTTTGACAGAACTTAAAAATTTGATTTATTTTGGCTCCAGATATCAGAGGTCAAATCTGAGGCTACAGTGTCGTTGGCTCCCAGCAAAACCAGCTCCACCGCTTCATCCATGCGAAGACGCATATCTGCCTTTCCAACAAAGGTAAGTCAGCTTGGATCGTGGTACGCTATATTTTACAAGCAGGCAATTATAAAGATGCAGAAAAAAATGTTGAGATTCACATCTGTTAAATAAATTAGGGCTGAATACATTAATGGAATTGATCATGTTTAATTGAATATTGAAACACTAATTTAGTAATTGATTAATAGTTAACTTGCTAATAGAGGCCCTGAGACATGCCTTTAGCTGAAAGAGCAACCCACTAAGAGCAGTTACTATTCTAAAAGTTTAAAAAATATATATATTGTTTTGTTTTCAAGATGAGAAACCCTTTTTGTCTATTGATATGCTCTATCCCGAAGTTATCAAAGGGCACAGTTTTAGCTTCATTTAGTTTAAATTCTATGTAAAATCGTCTTCAATGAACCTTTAGCCATCTGATTATTAATTGAAAAAAGAATCAACAGATTAATCAATCAGCAATTGTTTTGAGTTGCAGCCCTGAAATAAATAAAGATTTCATTTTAGGATTATAATCTCACACTGAATTATTAGGTATAATACAAACTTTGATTAGAGTACATTTGATTCCATATAAAAAAACAAAATGTTTTTTTGGATAAAACTTTGGGTAGCACTATTATTAGGACCCCTAACAATACTTTCTTTAGGAATTCACAATGCTGGAGCATACAGAGGGAAACACAGCTAAGATTGAGGTCTGCGGACTAAAGACGAACGCACCTGGAATGGAATCTCTCACATAGTAGCATCTCAAAGTATAGGATCCCAGTAAAGTTTATTAAAACCACATGTGTGCAGTTTTAAAGGTAGAACAGAAAAGTGATTTTCCTTTCAGGCCTTCTAAGATGCCAAATGGCATCTAGGTAACACCTGCTGGTTGTAATGGGGACCTGGTGACCCTAAGATGCCACAGTATTCTGCAGCTCCCTAATAAAAAGCTTTGGGGACTCTTATCCCTCTAGCTATCCTGCTACACAGCCCTGTGACTAAAATAAATATTTGTTGTCACATTATATTTGTTAACTATGAAAACAGAAAATCATGATTTTATCTCTTATAAAGCTGAAAAAGTAATGAATATACAACTTAAAGAGGAGAATTTATTTAAAAGGATATGGTGTCGTTATAATGTCTAAAATATCCAGTTTAAGCTTATGTTACTGCATTGAAAGTTTAGGTTAGGTTACGTTCATGTGTTTAATTATATGGTTCAATTCACAACATACTAGAGTACATCTACCACTGCTCTGACTTAAGCCAACCCAAAACGTGTCAGCCAGTCACATTACGGTACTATTGGTTAAGATGGGACATATGGCTGTGACAAAAGCATGAGGTACTGAACTCACAGCTGAAACAAAACTAAACGTGTACACCCACCGGCTGCTGCTATCACATCTGTTTTGCCAGAATCCATGTTTTCCTCTTTGAAAGAAAAACAGCAAGACCATAAAAGTGTGAGTTGTACGTTTCCTTGTGGTTTCTGGTGATATTTCCATTTCTTACTTTGAATGGCTAAGCTTAAACTTGGTTAGACCGGCACTAGGTGTCACCTCACCCAGTCATTCTGGAAGGTTCTGCTGAATGACACTCCTTTCTTAAACGGATTCAATAGTCTCAGGTTTTGTAATGTGTAGAGCTAAACCCTACTGAATTTAAACCATCTGGCTTGCCAGGTTAATAATAAAGATGAAAACAATCCCTTTAATTTTATTTTTGATCAGCATCATGAGCGAAGATTTCTCATTGTCTGTCATTATCAATCTGCATGATATTTAGTCCAGTCCTATGTTATAATCACCCAACACCATGGCCGCGGGAATTGGGAGTTTTAGTGGCAAGAGGGAAATTTTTAATAAATGCAATAAAAATACTTTGCACAGTTTATAAATTTGTGCAAAGTATTTTGCCTTTTATTTTACTATTTCATGTATTTGGATTTTAATTAAATTATTTTGAGGCCTAATCAACACAAGTTCACAGAAGTTAAATTGTCAAGGCAACGTCAAGCAAGCTAGTGGTCACAGAGAAAAGAAGTATCCCGCTTGCGGCAGCAGGCTAGCAAATTTACATAGTCTAATGACAGAAATGAGAAGGAAATAATATCCATCTCCCACTTTTTCAGTCAGGGGTGCGGTGGGGCTGGTGCCTAACTCCTACAGTCTATGTGCGTGAAGCAGGGTAAACCCTGGACCCCTCTTCTCGTACATAGACTGCCGCCAGTCTGTAGCAGGGCAACAGAGAGACACATAGACATACAACCATGCACACACACACTCTCACATAAGGACAATTTAGAGAAGCCAATTAACCTAACAATCATTTTTGGACTGTGGGAGGAAGCTTGAGTACCTGGAGAGAACCTACACATGCACAGGGAGAACACCAAACCCTATGCAGAAAGACCCCTTGCCGGAAATTGAACCAAAAACCTTCTTGCTGCAACGCAACAGTGCTACAAACTGCCAATCTCATAGAATTCCTACATACAGTATGTTATTCTAACTCATAGTAATGTCATCATTTGTTTTGTGATGTTCCTTTCAGGAGCCCGAAGACAACATCAAAGTGCCAGAGGAACCTTTACCGAGTTGCTGTCTTGTTTTAGCAGGAGATGCAGGAGCTGGAAAGTCCAGCTTTCTGTTGCGGCTGACGCTCAATGAATTTAGAGCCAACATTCAGACCACACTGGGTGGGTAACAGTAAACATGTCGCCTAAAGGTGTTGTTCCTCACTTACAGGTGGATTCCACTCAAAAATAAAATGTGAAGGTCTTAAAATGGAGTCAATATAGAGTTGAACAACTTAACAGGCAAAATTCGCAACAGCTTATTTAGAAAATTTATCTATTTGATTCTAGGTTATTTAAAATGATTGTTTTTGCTCCCAGGTATTGATTTCCAGATGAAGAGGATGCATGTGGATGGAGAGATGATGAACCTGGAAATCTGGGACACAGCTGGTCAGGAGAGGTATATGTCTTCCTAGAAAGACATTTAGCAAGAAAGTAGCAACATGGAAAAATGGAGCACCAGTTTAGTGTAAACACTGACTCAAATGGAAAATTGACAATGCTCAAAAAAGGGATGATTTTTTTCCTTTGACTCTAGGTTCCGTAGCATTGGAAGGACCTTTTTCCGTAAAGCTCAAGGAGTTCTGCTGCTTTATGATATTTCTTCAGAGAGGAGCTTTCTAAACATCAGGGAGTGGGTGGATCAGATTCAGGTAACATCGCTGCTAATGAGAAATAAATAAATACCACGTATAGTTGTAATACCATGTCTCTCCCTATATTTTTCTGAAGGAGTCCGCTGATGAGAAAATCCCCTTATGTGTTGTTGGAAATAAAGTGGATCTACGGGATCAACTTCCTGCAGAATGCTGTGTTAGCAGCTCAGAAGGAGAAAAGCTTGCCAAAGTAGGTGTTGCTTTCAGCTGGTGGTGAAAGTTTTTATAAATATGTCCATGCTCGAGGTGTTGGAGTAAACAGACCATACATGGGGATGGTAATGCTTTGTTTTTCCTGTGCTCGGCAGAGGTACGATGCCTTGTTCTGTGAAACGAGTGCCAAAGCAGGAACGAACATTGTTGAGGCTGTGCTTCATCTAGCACGGTAAGAAATTTTTTTTTTCATATTTTTGAGCCATACAGGAGCATAACTACTAATTCTAATTGAATTAAAGAAATTAAATTTGGACAATCTTCTGAAGCCACGTTCACATTGCAGGCCTTAATGCTCATTTCTGATTTTCTTGTGAAATCGGATTGCTTTGCGTGGTCGTTCTCATTTCCAAATATATGGAACTCATTTATGTGATCTCCTGTCTGAACTGCTCTCATATAGCAGAAGTGTCCACCATGCACAGTAGTGGACGCAATGACATCACAAGTAGAGATCGCGGTCAGTGTTTGTGGAAGTAAAGAAAGATGGTAAAGCGGAAGTGCATCTATATATCAAATATCACATGGTACCGATAAGACCCATTGAGTTTGCCCTGAAGAGAGCTGTCAAAATCAAAAATGTTCTCTCCATTGATGGAACTCTGCAATATAATCTGCCATGGTTGTTGGTTTCTTCTCCCGCATCCATGTAGCAGGTTGCTGAATAGTGACCATTGTCTAGTTATAATGACGTACATGTTGTACATGTTGAATGCGACCTGGCCGTACAGACACTTGCCACATTTGAAAAGATTAGATACATGTCTCATTTAGGAGCACATAGCCAAGTGGCCTGGGTCGCATTAGAAAAATCAGATCAAAGTAGTTTAGACTGTTATGAAAAGATAAGATACAGTTCAGATATTGGCCAAAAAAATCAGATTTAGGTCATTTCAGGCTGCAGCGTGAACGTAGCCTAGGAGTTAAAATGATTTTCTACAGTATATAGATTAAGTATGAAAATCTTTGAGAATTTGATACTTTTGCTATTTCTATTTAATAACAATGACTTGGAAGTAAAAATAAATCCATGTTTTCTCATGAAACATTTTTCATTAGCTTCATCTGATGATCTTATTTTCTAATTCAAAAATATCAGCCTACTTAAAAGTGTGTCCAAGCTTGGTTTGGCCTCCTTTTGCATGAATCATTGTAAAAATGCAACATGGCATACTTGTCAAGTTCTTAATTTGAACATACAGGAAATGGTACGACATCCACTGCCAACCCTTTAAGTTCCAGTATCAATTATATTTCAGGACACAAGAAATTAAAACTAAAAACGTGTCAAGCAACTGCAAACTGAATAGGGTGATCAGATTTTGACTTGCAATGCTTGCGACAATTCCATTTGGAGAGGCAGATCATGTTAAGACTTGACAGCTATGACATGCTGTGGCATTGATCAGCCTTACTTATTTTAGTCCATCCTAAAAGTTGAAGCATTCTATGAACTGCCAGCCTCATTAGTAATGGCTTGTGGTAGCTTACCTACCTTGTGAAAGTTGTCAATACGTTTTATTTGCTATATTTCTTTGAGAAATCAGTTTTATTACTCCATTATAAAGACATTTTTCACCAAACAGAATTTTTCAATTTATAATAATTAAGAGGAACAAATATAAACTTACAATATATTAAACCGTGTGTATTTAACCTTCATAAATGTATTTCAGTTTCTATTAATATATACATTTTATCTTTAGGACAAATGTCAAGTTTTTAAGATGAACCGCTGACCCTTTATTTGCTTTTCTACAGAGAAGTAAAGAAAAATGGCAAACTGAGACGGCCATCGGAGTCTCAGGTCAAACTGAATGAGACTCTCTCAAAGAAGGCTTACAAAGGTTGCTGTGGACAGTAAAAAACAACCAAACAACGGACAACAGCTGCTTTTTTAAAAAGAAAGAACACACTCCTTTTTTGTCTTTTTTTTAAACATTTAATCTGTGTCACCTCTAAACTGTAAACATAGTTTCATGAAGGGTTACTCTTTGGTCAAAATGAAGGAAAACTGTAAATGTACATATTGAACCGAAATCATCTAATTATCCAAAAATATATAACATTTTGTATTTACTTGGAAATGGATGAGCATTATTGATAACAAGGTCAAATTCAGCTTAAATATATTTTATAATTTTAACAGACTTTTTTTTTTTTTATGTCTGTTTCTTTTTCCATTTAACTTTTTTATCAGGACGCTTGTCCTAACAGAGTTTCATCCCTTTTTGTGGGATTATATTTAAAGAATAACACATCTTTTTTAATATTTTACGATGAAGTTACTTTTTTTCTTAAACCTATGATAATTTTGGAGCACTGATCAAATGTATTTATGTACTATTGTACCCTTTACACCCCTTTAAATATATATATATATATATATATATATATATATATATATATATATATATATATATTTTTTTTTTTTTTTGCTGAAATAAAGACAACCCCCCCCCCCCCCCAAATAAAACTGACTGCAAATAACTTCTGCAAACTTGCATTGATCGACACAAATCTATTTGTGCAAAATTTCGCTCTGTCCTAAACTCTGCTTTTTACAAAAAAAAACTCTCAAAATCACAGGTTCAAAGCTCAGGTGCTGCTTTTGCATTGGAGATCCAATGAAAACCAGTTGGTTCCAGTGGGTCAGAGATGTTTCCATCCCGCTGATGATTTTCAGTTTCTTGCAGTCAAAATCATGGATGTAACCAAGCTGCCCAAGGCCACCACCAGAGCTCCCAGTATGAACTTCCAGGAAATTCCCTGAAAACATAAAGGGAAGTGGTGTGAATCAATTTCTTTGACACAAAGACAAATGAAAGAATTGAGTTGTGCATATAGCTAAAGTCAGTTATTTACGTACACTGCATAAAAAGACACAAAAATATTCATCTTTCTTTCTTGATATCAAATCAAACTGAATGTTACCTGTGTTATGTTGTGAATGATTACAACAATTTGCTAAATGCCAGAATGACAGACATTTTTTGGACATATTTTTTTCATACCTTAATTTTCACTAACTTTTTTCCACCTTTGACTTATTTCTACCAACAGAAAAGTAAGTAAATTGGGTCAGTTTATCTCCTTTTTGCTTACATCTTATTTTCAGGAGGCGACTCCAAATAATTAGATTTTATACCACTTTGAGACCAGTTCAGCTGTATGATTACTATATGTTAAATTTGTCATTTGGAAAACCCATTTCTGCACTCACTGCCATCTTTCGATTTTTTGAGGTCCTTTTCCTATATTCACATCTATTTTTTTTTTTATAAATCTGCCCCAGGCTCCGCTACTGCAAACCCACCCCCACAACATAATAGGACCACCTCCATTCATCATAGTTTGGATATGTGCTCCCAGTAATGGTATTTAGGCCAATTTCTCTATCTTTAGTACCGGTAATTGTCTTGGAGTTTATTCACAAACTGTAATCTGGATTCTTATATTGCTTTTTTTTTTTTAAACATGGCTTCACGCTTGCAGCCATATGCAGCACCTTAACGGTATTTTGATTTTGGCCTGTGGTTACTACATACATTTAGAGGGGAGTGTTGCCCTAGTGGTTAGAGCAGTGTGCTTGTGCTCTGAGAAGGATTCAAGTATCCGGTTCGATCCCCACACTGCTCTCTGGGGGCTGCACAGTGGCAGCCCAACGCTCCGCAAAGGGGATGGGTTAAATGCAGAGAGTTAATTTATCCATTGTGGGGTTAATAAAGTCCAATTTCTATTTTTTTTTTTCATTTCACACCAACAAACATACATTTCTTGGACACAGAATCTGAAAGATCTGATCTCTTTACTTTCACATGATGTTTATAACTGCCAATAATTGTGTTAAACTATAGCCTGTGAACACCTCAAGGCATCTAGATACTTGAGCTCCTCAGATCTCTTCTTCATATCTTGACTTGCTTCTTTTGACTTGTTCACATTGTGATAAATGTGGACAATGTGTCTGAGGTGAAGCCTAAATAGCATTGTAAGATATGTCTTTAATTAATCTAAATGTTTTTTATTAACCTATCAGAAACTAACAAACAAAGACATCCTCTTCTCAGATTTTCCAAACTAGAGGGAAGGCATTGTTTTCCTGAAATATGTAAACTTATGAATTCAAACCAAGTAGAACAAACACATTTTCCATCATTCTTGCAGTTAGTTTTTTGTACTCCCAACCAACCTAAAACAGAAAAAATATAGTCTCCAGTGTCATTACCCACTTCTTGCAGGGTCATGGGGAGGGGGCTTTGAATCTGTCATTGGCCAGCAGGCAGCCAATCACCTGGCTTCTTCTTGCACAGTGTATGTAAATATCAGTAAATACCTGGTTCCTACTGCAAGTAACGGCTTACTGATGACTTTTTCTTAGAAGGAATGAAGAATGGTGTGATATCATCTCCAAGCACCTTTGCTGGTTTGACTCTCCACTGCTGCGTGTCTTGGCCTCCTGATTGTCTTTTGACAAGTTTGGATAATTCTGCATGGATTGCCTAAGTAGACAGAAGAACATATTTTTGAAGATGGCTTCACTAAAATATGTTATTGAGGTGTAGAGCTGAAAAGAAAAAGAAATGCTAGCAATGTCAGGGTTCTTGCCGTTTTTAAAGTCATATAATTTGTTCTTGTAAGCATATGATATTATATATAGAGTAGGATAATCATTTTGACCTTGCAGATTTAACTTTCATCAATATTTGATAGTTGGTACTTCTAGATTTTACAGATTTTAGGTATTATACATGGTAAATTAGAGCATTAAGGCTTTAATTAAAGCTAATTTGTGGAACCTGAAAAAAATAAGACCTTATTTCCAAATTTAACCCAAACCAAGAAAATGAATTTCCAAAATGTATGGATTTGCCCCTCCTTAAACCTCCACCTTAAAGTAATGGAGGGCTTTTGGACTATTGGATGATTGTAGAGCCTAAGTTGTCAGGGCATTAAACAGCTAATTAAAAGCTAAAATTTTTAAATGGGTCTCTCTGATCATTGTATGGTTAAAAAAAGTGTATTTTGGAGCTGAAATTAACATTAGATCATTTTGAAACACAACACTTTAGACTGACTAAGTAACTCAGGCAAGTAGATAGATGTTTTTTTCTGAAAATGGGCACTTACCTCGAACTCTTTGGAGAGTCGGGCTCATTATACATGAAATATGTCTTTTGGAAACTGGTAAGTGGCTTCTTCTTATAAAGCGCTTTGGTCAAGTCAGGACACTTGACCAAAGCGCTTTACACTACATTCACCCATTCATGCAAACCTGATAGTGGCTGCTCCATTGTAGCCTCAGCTACCCTGGTGTTCACTGACAGAAGCAAGGCTGCTGTATACAGGGACCACCATCAGTAAGCAATGAGGATGAAGGATCATGCCCCAGGACACAAATTCAGTTTGAACTGACAATCCTTTGGTTGCAGGCCAAACTGCAGCATCGAATGTGTCTGTCTGATGCAGAATGGTTGCATTGGATGCAGACTAAAAGGGCTCTTAACCCTAAATAGGCTGTGAAAATGTGACGATGAGAAAAAATCTATCTGAAATTATCTGCATTAAAGTAGCCAGAGTTAAATAATTGTTTGCTATACTGTGGTTACATTAAATGGTTTTACAACTATTTGGGGAATAAACCATAAACTGCAGCTAAATGACTGGTTTAGATCTGCAAAGGCTATGTAACTCTTAAAAGAATACCTATAGATTTTTTAAATAAATACAGACTGAAAATTCCAAACTACGACTTAAATATTTTTGTTGAAGTGTTGAACAAAAACCTAGAAAACCAAAATTTTAAAGATTTTAAAAGGTACTTCTTATTTAAAAGAAATGTGCCTCGTTCTTTATCATGATTGGCTGGACAGACTTTTTCAAGACCTACTGAACGGACTACAAATCCCAGTTTACTGCAGATCCCACACCTCTTGTTCTTATACAAGGTAGTGCTTAGCTTTGAAGGGGAAGGTAAAGGTTTTTTTTTTTTTGGGTCCAAATATTGACCTAGAGTACATGCAATGCACACAACATATAGTGAAAGACTACACATGCATGTCAGCTTAAACCCACCATCTCCTCAGTGATACAAGTTAATGGCAGCATCATGCTTCCATGGAAACAGAAAAACAATCCAGATTAAGTCAAATCTGGATTGTATTTCATGCTAGGTAAACCTGGTAGAAAACCTTTTAAATACTGCAAAACACCTGATATGAAAACATGAGCTTCACCTTCTGGCAGGACAATGCCACATCTGCAGCAATAAGTAAGACTAAACCATTTTGCAAGAAAGACGGAGAAAACCTTTCCATTTTCAGATGTACACAGCTGATAAAGAAGACACACCTCAAAGGTTACAGCTATTGATGATAAAATAAGGTTTTACAAAGTACTGCTCAATCTACCTCTGAAATTAAATGTAATCAGTTTTTGTTGGCCTGTAATTAAGTTCTAATAAATAATTTTGAAATTAATATTTATATGACAAAATATAAACATAAAAGTCTCTGATTTTGCATGGCAGTCTGGTGAAACAATACATCTAGATTTTTATTGACTTGGAAATTCACTGCCTCTGCTCATAGCACAGGTCAAGTATGGTGTTTGCATGATTTACAGGCTGGTTTGGAAAGAACTCAGACAGAGGAAGGATTATCTGGGCCACATGATCTCACCTTGGTGGCTGGCTCCAGTTTCAAGGCCTGTTTTAGCACCTCCATGGCCTCTTTGTATTCGCCCTTATCTGACAGCAGCTGTAAGAGATGAAAAGATCTGCAGGGGGACTTCTGCTAGGATAACAATAAATCAAATACAGCAAGTAATAAAGCACCTGTTTTATTTTCCCCAAACATAATCTATCTTTTTACAAATTTAACAGATTGCCCCTTCTTTATTGTATGCAGTGGTAATTCTTAGAGTGGTAGCACAGATCAGATGAAATGCTTTATGACATCTCTCAGGGATAACATGACCCTTACCTTTCCGGTCCTGAAAAGCGCCTTGACGTTGTTCGGTTGGAGGGTCAGGACGTCCCGGCTGGTATGCAGAGCCTCGCTGAACTGCTCCAGTTTGAGCTGAGCAGCAGCCAGGTTGTTCAGACACTTTATCCGATATTCCCGCACTTCTTCCTCTTCCTCCTTCATGCCAACATCATCGCCATCTGCACAGAAACAGGCACATAGCTTACAGCCCCCACCTGCACCTGGTACTGGATTTATTTAAATGTATCATAAAGAAGCTGCAATAATAACTTTGAGATGGACAGGGTTGTTTGTTTTTTGTGATTCCTATTAACAAAAATCATTTGAAGGAGAAATTCCCAGTGGGAGTCATTATGTTACCGGTTCATGTTCTGCCTTTTAATTTAACTGGATATTGTATTCATTCTTTTTTAGAAGCACCAGACCCAAATGTCTCTAACTGCATGAGGCATCAACCAAACTAATGAGACCTTGTTAGCACAAAGGAATTTTACCCTCCTCTTTGAAATGTTTGTCATAAAATTTAGCAGCTCACGAGCGGCATCTTTTTACCAAGTTACCGATTTTAGCCACTTGTTCTTGAGATGCTGTTTTTACGGGTGTTTTGGAATTTGAGGACCTAAGGAGGGTTTAGAGTTGACCTCTGGGCATTTTTAAGAATTTTATTTTAAACAGTTGTTTGTGTCCTGCCAAAAAAAAACCCTGGCTGCAATGGATTTTCAAATTTCCTTTAAGGCAAATATTAAAGTTACTAAGAGTCAATAATAATTCACAGTAATATGTTTAAAATAACAGTTTCATAAATGATTTGTAACATGTTTGAAACATTAGGTATTAATGGGGCTGTATTTATGGTACTTATTTGACAAAGGGCTGCTCAATCTGTAGCACTGTCACCTTGCAGAAAGAAGGTCCTGGGTGTCATCCCAATGCATGTGTGGCTTAAGGCCCCATCCACACGAAGTCAAACCCTGGCCTAAACGCACAAATTTTTCACCAAACCAGCCTCTCATCCATACGAAGCCGGCGTTTCGGGGGTCTGTGAACGATCTTTTTTTTATCAAGCCTTCAGAGTGGGAAGATTTTGAAACGCCGTTTTCGCGTTTCCATCTTTAAGCTCTAACCGCATTTTTTTTTTACACGCATGCGTCATAGCGTCGCCTCTAAACACGCATGCGCGACACAGTATCACAACAACAATGGCGCCGTACTGTGTTGAATGGTTGCTGCTCATGCTACTCACCCTGCTGTCGGGCTTACAACAGAATCTTCTTCTTCTGGAATATCACCAGGAAGAACAGAGCAATATCGAAGACATAGTTCAGCACCTGAATTTGACTGAACCACGAAAATGGACCCGCAGGGCAACCATGTATAAATATTAGTGCGCATGCCCAACATTTCGTCGCTTATTTTTGCTTTGGCACCACAGCGCCACTTACAGGCCTGGCATACATTTTGCAGCGTTTTCATGCGTTCGTGTGGACGCTCACATTTATTTTACGTCTCCGTCTTTACGACAAACGTTTTGGAAAATATCAGCGTTTCGTGTTCGTTTTGACTTCGTGTGGACGGGGCCTTAATCCAGTTACCTCTGAAAGTCTAAAAACATAAGGTTTATTGGCATCTCTAATTTGCCCTTAGGTGTTTTCCTGCATGATTGTGTGTTTGTATAGGCATACAAGTAAAATTTACTTGTGGTAAGTCAACGCCTTAGAGGTTTGATAGAAAACATGAGGGAACAGACAACATTAAGAAAACCTAGAATCAAAGAAGACAAATCAGGGAGAAGGCTGAACAGAAGATCATATCAGGGTTAGGTAATGATGACTACAACTCTTGGATAATCCACTATTAGATATTTTGTTATCCTACAACAATAAACTAAAGTCAAAATAATTTAGATATTCTGCTTCAAGTGGTGTTAGTTTTGGAGCTAAACAAAAACTATGAAGATATAGTATTTGCTCCAAATAAAAGCAAAATCCTTTTTCATATATAAATGTCAACATTCAACAATGAGTATCAAAGTTAATCTCTCCTCAATTTGATTGAAATTTTACAAGGTTGTTTTCACATGTTAGTTTGCAAGTTAAAAACCCAAACCCAGAGCAATGCAAAAACCTTTGTCAAAACTAGCGGATTTGACTTTTTTTTTTTTACTCAACATGCAATTGAGATGGAAGACTTATGATGTTGGCAATATGTCTCATTAAGATTTTGTTCAAGTAACACAGTAAACAAGGCAGGAATTATGTTTTAGGGGCGTTCAAAGTCAAGTAAGATTATAAAACAATCAGTCACCTTTCTATTTCATTTAGCACTGTTAAGCCTGTCATAAGAAAACTACATTCCCATCCACCTTAACTATCTGACTGGTTATGGAGAGCATTGATCAACAAATCAGCAGAGAGGCCCATGGTAAGCTTTGAACAGCTGTAACAATCACTACTCAGGTGGGAGAATATGTTGGTAGGTTAGTTTCCTACTTTACAAATGTTGGCCTAAAGGGAAAGAAACAAAAGGAAATCTGTTGTTTTAAGAAAGCTATAAACTCTGTTGTTTGTCATGCAGGGGACAGAGCAAATATTCTTTATTCAAATGATATTCAAACTGAGCTTAAGCTGTTATAGTTGATATATGAACAAAGACCTAAGTCTTCACATATGCAAAGCTGTTAGAGACACTTGTTTAGACAGCCTTTCTACAAAGTAGGAATGGGGTACATATAACTTATGCATGCCACATTACAGATTTTCATTTGCATACAAAAGAGTAAGAATCGTGTTACGTTTTCCTCTGACGTTAGAGTTACGCAATACTTTGTGTTCCATCACACAGAAAACCGCTAAAAAAACAAACTTTGTAGACAAAAAAATTGTAGGATAATGTCGCAAAGCAGTATACCTGTTTCTTTTCTTTTTTTTTCTTTATCATCCTTACCTGAAATACATGAGTCAGTCGGCGGTTTGTGCTTTTGTACTTGAAGTTCGATTTAAATCATCTTATCTAAATGAATGAATGACTTTCGGTACAGAATTAATATCTTGGAATTTCTCCTGTTTTACTCCTCATATTCTTCTCATTGACTAATTACATTATCTGGATGATCTGGATAAACGCCTTCTTTCATTGCCGCATCAGATTTACAAAGCGGTCAGCCATTATTGATTTATTAGGAGGCAATCCATGTTTTCTCTTCATTGTCTCATTCAGCTACATTTCTCCCTTGGGCTTTCTCTGCCTTGTCGATAATTAAAGTGATTAAGGAGGTGGAAATGAAGGGAAAGTTGATTGCTTTTGATCATGCAAAAGTATTAAGCGAAAGCGTTTATGGCAGCCTGCTGCACAGACGGATGTGGCCCTGCATGGAGAAGCTGTGATTAGTGGCGATGGTGGAGTATTCCTGTCAGATGATGTGTTATACCTGCTGTGTTTGTTGACATGACTGCGTTATAGCCAGGAGTATGGAAATGTTTGCAGTTTATAAATCAGTCCTACCTTTGGTGCGTGTGGTCAGCACGTCCAGGGCCACACAATAAGCTCTGGCAGCGAGGCTGAACTCCTCTCTCTGGAAGTGAAAGTTTCCTCGCTCTCTTTTCTGGTTACCGATGCGGATGCGGTCAGCGATGGGCAGAGTTAACGGGTATGGTTTGTCTCTGATGTCCAGCAGTTGTAATTGGTAGAGTAATGGAGCCCACGCAGGGATCTCAGGCTCTCTGCGCAAAAATAAACACATTGATTGAAGTACATTTTCATTCTTACAAAGTTACACTCTTCTTAGATACTATATATATATATTCATTTTGCTTTAGATATTTTTTTCTAAATGCAACATACATGTTACTACAATGGTTTATCAGGGACCAAATACCTTATTTTGTTTTCTCTTATTTCCTATTGATAACTGTTTGATAACATAACTGGTATTTGATAAGCACATTTGTTTTTTATTGAAAGCTAGAAGGGGTGAAATACTTGGCTAATATCACTGATAAAAGGAATACAGTAGTTTCTTTTCTGTAAAAAGGATTTTGTCATGATCTTGGCACTGATGACTGGCTTAATTACTCATTCGATTCACCTGTCTCACTCTGCCTGGTTTCTCATCACTGCTCATCTGATCCACCTGCTCCTGCCTCTATTTAAGGTCCTTGCATCGAGTCATCAGGGCCAAATTACCATGTTCTCTCTAGCCAGTGGTGAGAGTGTTTTTAGAGTTCCTTGGTGTTTCTGATTTCCTGATCCTGACCTGTTCTGCCTCTCAACCACTGAGATTGCCTGTACCAGTTTGTGTCCAGAGTCTGTCTTCAGACTCCTGAACCTCTGAGCCTAGCTATTCTGTTCTGATCTGTTTGTCTGACCTGGCTTCGGCCCCTGCATTTTCTCTGGGGCTGCAGCATCTGGGACACTCTGGGTGGTGCCCGCCACATCTTGTTGGAAGCCCATCGGCTAGATCCTGATTTCCCTGTTCTGTGGCTATGGACTGAACTTTTAGCCAGGTTAGTGACTCATGTTCATAATTTTCCTCTGTTAGATTTATGTGGTCACTAACCTGTGTTTATTTTTTTCCAGAGTTTCATGCCTCAGACACCCTAGCTGCTGCAACTGCTGAAGCACAGATCTGGGTTTTTAAATATACGCGTTTTGAATAATCCCAATAATGTGTGTTTTGACATTTGACATTTGACTCAGTTGTTGCTGTCATTAAATCTGTGTAACTTTATTTTTTTGTTTCCTATTAAATCTACTCATATGCATGTTGCTCATACTGACCCTGATTCTCTGGAGGGTTTTTCTTCTAATACAAAGAAATGGTCACCGCCCACCCAGCCAGAACTCCAGCCCAGTGGAGGATGATGGAGGTTGAAAATCTCTGTAAACCTGATACAAGCTGAGTTTCCTTGGATAAATTTCTACCTACTTTCATTTTGTGATCAGTACAGATCAGAGGACTGGACTGAAGTGATCTGAGTTTGATGTTTTTTTTTTTTTCTGGATATGAGTTAGACCTGCTTAGAAAAAGTGGAGCAAGCAACAGGAAATTATTTAACAAGTATGAACCCAATGACTTCAGCTCATCCAGGAATCACTCTGAAAGATAGTTAATTTAACATTCAATCATCTCGCCTCTGCGCATTCATGGCTCACAATGGTTCATTATTAGTTCTTCTTAACACAGAGGTAATACAGAGAAGCATTGATCACAGTTTGGAGTAGAAAACAGGATAACAAAAATACAATGAAGGGTCACTTAAAAATATGAAGCTTCCTTGTGGTCACAGAAAAAAACCCATCTAAAATGAAGTAGGGAAGTTTGGCTTCCTGCTCTTCCTTACACCGCTGCAGTTTCCTAAAAATAATAGCTCTGGGATTTGTGACGAGTCATGAATTATGCAAACTGGTTGTGCGACTGACACAGTTTATGTTACTCCAATACGACTGGTTGTATACACAGTCGGTGTGTGGCTAAGTTAGCAGGTGGTATCAGATTACCCTTTCACCTCTCATCTCTGGTGGCCTCACCCTGTATCACATACATCACACAGAGGGGTGTGAAGTTGTCAGTTGAGCTGAGGCTTTAGAAACCTGAGCAGCATCACTACAGCCACCTATTGTGTTGGTGTCAAATGTGATAATATGATGACATATGAACTTACAACATATATGTCTTTTTACTTTGTACTTCAGGTTTGTTTATTATTATGATCTATCATATCAGTCATATAAAACATTAACAGTTGTGGCAGCAGTGTGATAAAAATTAGTGATGCTTTTGCAATTCTTTTGGATCACAAAACAAACAACCATTATGGATGGGTGCTTTGCATTATTCACACTCTGATCATACTTTATAGATGCAGGATAAATAATGAGACTTACATACCTTGAAAAGTCTGGATTACTGGTCCAGAAGGACTAATAAATAGTCACTTACTGGGGATGTGTAGGAGCTAAAGCAACATGTATTTGTTCCCATTATTATTGTTCTGCTCTTTGTGTAAACATTTAGACTAGGCACAAACTCCCATACCAACGCTTGTGCATCATGGATGCAAACTGTAATGAATTCCATTTCTGCACCATTGCCGACAAATTAGCACAGTTTAAAATGCAGCGCATTCGACACCATTCATCTGAGTCTTACATTAGCTGCATATTTTATACACATAATATCCTACATACAGTGAAATGTTATTACCCATGGAGATAAAAAAAATCACTTGCAATTTACAGGAATTGCATGTGATGACTTACAACTCCAGTCGTGATTATTCACAAGGCTCTGTGTCTGTGTTCATAGCCATTTACAGGCCTTCAGGCAATAGTTCAGTTGTGCACATGCAACAAAGCACACACATCAAGCTGGCAGTCTGCCGTTGTCTGTAAATATCTCTCCTTCCCACAGGGTCTAGTGTACATGTTTATTCAGGAACTTAGATGTTGCTGCTGTAAAATCATCTGAACAACTTTATCGATAAGCTGCTGCTGTGCTGTGTAACTTGGAAGAGACTGATTCTCTCAGATGGAAGGAAAAGGGGCATGGCTTAAATGCCTTGTTTGCAAACAGCAAATATGCCTTTAACAGGATTATTGGCTCAACTGATAACTTTAGGCTTGTAGTTTTCACCTTTTGGCTCGAAGAGTAAAATTATCCAGGGGTACAACATTAAAACGATCCTAATCTAAGTGCCTGCAGTAATATCATATGCACATATGTTCAGTTGTTTAGACAGCTTTCGTTTGAAGCCAGTTTGCTTCAAAATTTTTATTTAATGTAATTCCTTGGAATGAGTTGGAGGAATAAGAACTATTATTAGCTATATTCACTTTTCAAGGTTTTTATTTTGTATTTTTTTTTACCAGGTTCACACTATAAAGAGGAAGACTGCGGTGGGAGAGCAGCAAGAGTCAATATGTACATCTAAAATCTATAGTAAAGGATTTCAACACACCTCCTTGATTCTATCCAGTGAAGAACAGAGTTAAAAATAAAAAGAAGACAGAAAGAAACCAGTTCATTTTAACTAATTTCTACATCATCGCTGAACCTGAGGGTTGCTTTACATTATAAAGCATTTTATTCTGTATCTCTATACTTATTCAGACTACACTAATGCTGGCTTTTACAGAGCTGAATGTTTGGTTTTGTAAACAGCCCTAGTGAAACCCCTCACTCATCATGTCATTAACTATTGATCAGTTTCCAACAGACAAATTATCCACTTTGCTGCTTCTGAGTCACCCAGACTGAGGCACATCATTAAAGGGGTGATGAGTCATTGATATTGCTGCTTAAGTGCAAGCAGCTCTAACTACAGTAAATGTGCCACATGATGCACTGAAGACAAAATGATGAATTATTCTGCTCCACAGCCACATTTCAGTCTATCACTGCTTGATTCAACAGGTGTAACGCTTTAAACATCAAAAGCTGGTATGAAAAAGAAGAAAAAACAAAGCATCATGCAAAGCAGGATTTTTGTCTGAGGCACGAAAGAATGATGAGACTGACCTTGTGGGCATTAAACAAACCCAACTTGACTAGTGAGAAGCTAGGAATGCATCGTGCTGACAGATATATAAGGTTGATGGTGTCACAAAGGTCACAGCAGATTAGCGCACTATTGAGGTGTTGAACTGAGCTCAGCCAGTGAACCTCCAGGGTCCTGTTAGTGCAAATGGGAAGCAGAAGTTGGTCAGCAGAGCAAGATTCCTTCACATGAGCCCAGAGAAACCCGAACCTTCAACTGCAAAATGGAGAATCTATAAAGTAAGCAGCAATGGCCTCAGCCTTCCTGTCAGCTTCAGAGCAAAATTATAAAACAAGAGGAAAGATGTTAAAACTGTTCACCCACTTTCTGAAAAATTAACATTAAAGTATTCAGCATTTACACAATAATAAAAGGGAAAAACTCACATGCAACGAATCTGCAATAGGCCTACTTTAAAAAATTTTTTAGAATTAAATGTTTTCTCTTTTTTACTTTTTCCATTCGACAGACTGTATTGAATTTTAAAGGAATTTCTGTCTGACAGCCCACAAAACATAATTCATCACTGTGAAGAAAGAAAACCGAATGCTTTCCAGGCTGTTTGAAGGAGAAAGATCTCATAAGCGTGCTCTGCCTTTATAGTCAGTTCTTTTCGGATGAATACACTTAAAAACACCTGTGGTAGCAACTGTCCTCCATAGTCCCTTATCCAGTAAATTAATCCAGCTGTTCAGTGTTTTTTTTTTTTAGCTGTTTTCTTAGAGAACACCAGTGAGCAAACAGCAATACAAGAACAAAGAAAACATAACACAGGTCAGGGAAAAGGCTGTGGAGAAACAAATATCCCAAGCTAACATATCATGGACCGATGGGTAAATAGAGAAGAAGCATAAAGGCACCCGGTTACTCTGGGAGAGATGCACAGCTCAGGTGGGAGAATATGATCAGGAGACAACTTTGAGTTGTGCATTTCAGAGCTGTTCCCTAGGGTGAATAGCCGAGAGAAAGTCTCTGTTAGGCTAAAGCAATAAGAAGTACATCTTAAAGTTTATCAAATTAATACGGAAACACAATCCTTTAAACTTAATCTTTATTTTTAACATACTTTGTCTGGATGTTAAATGATATTCATACAGTTCCATGTTTTGCTTGGTTAAGTCTCTCCATCCTGACCGATGAGGTAGCTTTGCTGCAGATGTTTGTTTCATCGTTGTTTAAAAGCT